TTTCCCAGGTGGTGGAAGACATATCACTAGGGATATGTGTTTTACAGGTGGGGGAACACATATCACTAGAGATATGTGTTTTTTCCAGGTAGGTTGACCCATATCACTAGGAATATGTGTTTCCAAGCTGGTTGAACACATATCACTAAGGATATGTCTTACCCAAGTTGAGAACACATTTCACTAGGGATATATGTTTCATAGGTAAGGGAACACACATCACAAGGGATACGTGTTTCCCAGGTGAGGGAACACATATCACTAGGGATATGTCTTTCCCAGCTGAAGGAACAGATATCACATATAGGGGTATGTCTTTCCCATGTAGGGGAACACATATCACTAGGGATACGTGTTTACCAGGTGGGGGAACACATACCAATAGGGATATATGTTTCCCAGGTAGGGGAACACATATGACTAGGGATACGTGTTTCCCAGGTGGGGGAACACATATCAGTAGGGATATGTTTTTTCCAGGTGGAGAACAAATATCACTAGGGATATAAGTTTCAAAGCTGGTGGAACACATATCAGTAGGGATATGTGTTTCCCAGCTGGGGGAACACATATCACATATAGGGATATGTCTTTTCCAGGTGGGGAACACATATCCCTAGGATATGTGTTTCCGAGGTAAAGGAACACATATCACTAGGGATATGTGTTTCCCAGGTGGGGGAACACATATAACTAGGGATATGTGTTTCCCAGTTCGGGAAACACATAGTACTAGGGATATGTATTTCGTAGCGGGGGGAACACATATAACTAGGGTTATGTGTTTCCCGGGTAAGAGAACAGATATCACTAGGGAAATGTGTTTCCCAGGTAGGGGAACACATATCACTAGGGATATGTGTTTCCGAGGTAGAGGAACACATATCACTAGGGATATGTGTTTCCCAGGTAGGGTAACACATATGACTAGGGATATAAGTTTCAAAGCTGGTGGAACACATATCACTAGGGATATGTGTTTCCTAGCTGGGGGAACACATATCACATATAGGGATATGTCTTTTTCAGGTAAGGAACACATATCCCTAGGATATGTGTTTCCGAGGTAGAGGAACACATATCACTAGGGATATGTGTCTCCCAGGTAGGGTAACACATATGACTAGGGATATAAGTTTCCCAGGTGGGGGAACACATATAACTAGGGATATGTGTTTCCCAGTTCGGGAAACACATAGTACTAGGGATATGTATTTCGTAGCCGGGGGAACACATATCACTAGGGTTATGTGTTTCCCGGATAAGAGAACAGATATCACTAAGGAAATATGTTTCCCAGGTAGGGGAACACATATCACTAGGGATATGTGTTTCCCAGCTGGGGGAACACATATCACATATAGGGATATGTCTTTTTCAGGTGAGGAACACATATCCCTAGGATATGTGTTTCCCCAGGGAACACATATCACTAGGGATAAGGTGGGGTAACATATCACTGGAGATATAAGTTTTCCCAGGTGGGGAACACATATAACTAGGGATATGTTTTTCCCAGGTAGGGGGAAACACATATTGCTAGGGATATGTGTTTCCCTGGGGAACATTTTCGGGGGAACACATATCACTAGGGAATGTGTTTTCCATATCACTAGGGATATGTGTTTCCCAGGTAGGGGAACACATATCACTAGGGATATGTGTTTCCCAGGTAGGAGAACACATATCACTGGAGATACGTGTTTCCCAGGTGGGGGAACACATATCACTAGGGATATGTTTTTCCCAGGTAGGGGGACACATATTGCTAGGGATATGTGTTTCCCAAGTGGGGGAACACATATCACTAGGGATATGTGTTTTCTAGGTAGGGGAACACATATCACTAGGGATATGTGTTTCCCAGGTAGGAGAACACATATCACTGGAGATACGTGTTTCCCAGGTGGGGGAACACATATCACTAGGGATATGTTTTTCCCAGGTAGGGGGACACATATCACTAGGGATATGTGTTTCCCAAGTGGGTGAACACATATCACTAGGGATACGTGTTTCCCAGGTGGGGAAACACATATCTCTAGGGATACGTGTTTCCCAGGTAGGGGAACACGTATCACTAGAGATATGCGTTTTTATAGCCTAGAAAGGTGTTTTTTCGTTTTAGAAAATCGTTAAAGACATTTTCCTGGGCTATATTGCCTAAAGGCCGAAAACCGAGGGTTAATCCCTTTGGAAAAATGTCAATTTTTCGACTTTTTGAACTTCTTGTTTTTATTGCCTAGAAAGGCGTTTTTGCGTTGTATAATATCGTAAAGGATATTTTCCTGTCCTATACTGCCTAAAAAAAAAAAGTTGGAAAAAAGGCCATTTTTGAACCAAAACCATGGTTTAAACCCTTCTGAAAAATGTTAATTTTTTGACTTTTGGAACTTTTTTGTTTTTATAGCCTAGAAAGGCGTTTTTTCGTTCTAGAATATCGTAAAATACATTTTCGGGGCCTATATTGCTTAAAAGAAAAGAAGTTGAAAAAATGGCCATTTTTGGACCAAAACCATGAGTTAACCCCTTTGGAAAAATGTCAATTTTTCGACATTTTGCACTTCTTTTTTTATTGCCTAGAAGGGCGTTTTTGCGTTCTAGAATACCGTAAAAGACATTTTCCTATCCTATATTGCCTATAAAAAAAAAGTTGGAAAAATGGCCATACTTGGACCAAAGCCATGGGTTAATCCCTTTGGAAGAATGTCAATTTTTCGATTTTTTGAACGTATTGTTTTTATAGCGTAGAAAGGCGTTTTTCGTTCTAGAATATCGTAAAAGACATTTTCTTGGCCTATATTGCTTAAAAAAAAGTTGGAAAAATGGGAAGTTTTGGACCAAAACCATGGTTTGACCGCTTTGGAAAAATGTCATTTTTTCGACTTTTTGAACTTCTTGTTTTTATAGCCTAGAAAGGGGTTTTTTCGGTCTAGAATATTGTAAAAGACACTTTCCTGGCCTATATTTGCCTAAACAAAAGTTGGAAAAATGGTCATTTTGGACCACAACTATGGGTTAAACCCTTTGGAAAAATGTTAATTTTTCGACTTTTTGAACGTTTTGTTTTTATAGCCTAGAAAGGCGTTTTTTCACTCTAGAATATCGTAAAAGAAATTTTCCTGGCCTATATTGCCTAAAAAGAAAGTTGGAAAAATGGCTATTTGTGGAACAAAACCATGGGTTAACCCCTTTGGAACAATGTGAATTTTTTCGACTTTTTGAACGTTTTTTTTTTTTGGAGCCGTGAAAGGCGTTTTTTCGTTCTAGAATATCGTGAAAACATAATCTTTTTTGACATAATTACGACAAAAAACAGACATAAGAAGAAGTTTGATTTTTGGAAAAAAAACATAGACTAACTATAGACTAAACCTGTGGAAAATATCGATTTGGGGGCACTTTCTAAAAGTTCACTTTTCTGGTGAAAAAATCTTTTTTTTCTCTCTCTATAATAGAAAAAACGTAATCTTTTTTGACGTAATTACGGCAAAAAACAGACATAAGAAAAAGTTGAATTTTTGGACAAAAACCATAGACTGACCCCTGTGGGAAATGTTGATTTTTGGGCACATTCTAAAACGTCACTTTTCTGGTCTAACAATCATTCTTTTCTATCCAGAATATTAAAAAATGATGTTTCTTGACATAAATTCTGCAAAAAAACACAAAAAATATAAAGTTCGATTTTTGGACAAAAACCATGGACTAACCCGAATTTTTGGCACTATTTAAAACTCTAATTTTCTGGAGGAAAAATCATTCAATGCTTTTCAGAATATGAAAAAATAATCTTTAGTCACATAATTTCTGCTAGAAAAAACAAATGAGAAAAGGTTGGATTTGTGGACAAAAACGATGGACTAACCTCTTTAGAAAATGTCGATTTTTTGGGTAAGTTTAAGACTTCAATTTTCTTGGCTAAAAGGAAAATCTTTATTGAACAAATAAGGCAAAATTAAAATAAAAGGCAATCAAGACTCGGTTGCCATGGTAACTTCAATGCTTAGGTACGCGAATGTTTTCAGATACATTGAATGAAAAGTCTTTAATTTTAGGGGCGATGCAATTGTTTTTGGAGGTGTGTGTGTGGGTGTGTGTATGTGGGGGGGGGGGGGTAAAAAGGGACAGATTAGTACAGCAGACTGTGTCTTTACACTAGGCCCCCACGTTATGAATTTTCTGAATTTCCCCATGTACTAATTATCACGATTAGAAAGCGTTACTACTCGTATTTTGTTTTGTAGTTGAGGAAACTGATAATGCGCACCTGATAAGATTTGAGATGTTAGCTTTAAGTAGCCAGGGTGACGTTTCCGTAGTAACTCAGGATGAAAAAAGTAAACAAGCAAAAGAAACACGCTTTGTGTTGGTTTTTGTTTGTCATGAAATACAAACGTCTCCATGCACGCGCGCTACTAACCTGCGTGATGTCACAGGTCTCCAACGGCAAAAAATACCTTTATCTGGTGAAGCATAGCAGTAAACTATGGCAAGGAGTGTTCCGCCCTCTTTCGTTCCACGGTAAGGGTATGGTTGTACTTGAGGGTAAATATTTATTTCGTCACCGCGCATTTTCAGCGTACACGTGAGAATGGGTAGATGGTGTTTCGAATTGAATTACAGGACTAGTTTCCACTTTTAAAGACCATTACGTGGGCAGGAACTGAGTTCATCCAACCCTGTGTCATCACATGCAACCTCACAAACGCCTTCCCAGTGATCAATATAAGACACGGAGAAACAGAATATTGCAAATCGTAGAACATACTCATGGCTTATATTTTCTCTTTTCAAGTATACACGTACAACGGCCAGAAGGCCGATAAGTCTTTCATACAGGAAAATCTTTTTACACGAATTATTTATCACAAAATTCAGTCTTTTCGTGTTTGTTTGTCTCGCCAATCAACAATACAAAATCAGATGAAAGTATATTATATTCTCGGTTTTTTTCAGAAAATTATATGAAGAGGTGAATTCAATAAGCCGACAACAACCAGGGCAACCACGGTAATCCAGGTGACGCCATTCAAAGAGGATCTGTTGGCTGTAAACAAAAAAAAAAAAGCATACGCAACAAGTTAGAGTCGAACAAAGCACTTATGTATGCTTTTTTTGTAACACATTAGTTTTATATCATAATTTGAATTATGTAAAACTAAAAGGAAAAATACATTTATCAAGTTGTGTTATTACCGATACAAATGTATTCGCCATCTCCATGGTAACCTTTAGGGCATGTGCAGCTGAAGCTCCCTTGCAGATTGTTACACGTCGCGTCTTCTGCGCATGGCCACTCGCCTGTTTTGCATTCATCCATGTCTGAATGGAATCCACAGAGAGTTGTTATCTGAATGGTTTGTTTTGAATTTGATTCTCAACAGGCAATGAGCTTTGATTAATATTTGTTAATGTACGAGGGATGAAGGCATAAACGAGTTTAGCGACACAGAATGATATAAGATGAAATAAAACGCAAAAACGTTCTAGAAATATAGGCAACCGTTTTTCAGTGCCTTATTCTCATCAAGATATTCAAGACTCGGAAGAAAATTATCGTAGTTCTACAAAATAACTTTGATACAAGTGAGGCTTGTCATTAGTCTTGGAGAATATGACCAAGAGAAAGTTGTTACTTAATATTTTTGTTACAATATCATTGTCTGTTTGTTATCTGTGTTCGGTTTTTTGTCCTACGCACGCGCGCCGGCGTGGGATTCAGTCAGAATTTGAAACAAAACAAGAAGACGCCTGAAGGCGTTTAGGCGAAATGTGTTGGTGTGAGTAAAATTTATGTTGAATGGCATTAAAAGGTTGAGCAGTGTATCAACAACAAATGTGTGCAGGAGAGACGGGGATATTCTGTTAAATACGCTAGAAGATGAGTTATACACAAGGCTTCCCTTCTCCTCAAAACAAAATTTACATCAATATTACCACCGTATATGTTAAGAGTATGGGGTAGTTCACTAAAATTTACATTCCAGCTTTACTTACAAGGGCCACGGGGGACACAGGGGGCACAAGGAGACTCAAGGAACACAGGGGACACAAGTGTTTCCCAGTGTCCTATGTATCCCCTGTGGTGTTCCCTGTGTTCACTGCGTTTCCTGTGTCTCTTGTGTCCCTTGTGCCCCCTGTGTCCCGTCTCCCCTTGTGTTCCCTGTCTCCCCTTTGTCCCTGTTGTCCCCCGTGTCCCCTTATGTCCCCTTTTTCCAATGTGTCTCTTGTGTGCCCCTTGTTCCCTACGTCTCTTCTGTCCCCTGTATCCCCTGTGTGCCCTTTGTCTCTTCTGCTTCGTATGTCCCTTGTGCCCCATGTGTCCCTAGTGTCCTTTGTGTTCCTTTTGTCCCTTGTGTTTCCTGTGTCTCTTGTGTCCCCTGTGTCATTTGTGTCCCTTGTGTCCCCTGTGTCCACTGTGTTCACTGTGTCTCTTGTATCCCGTGTAACTTGTGTCCCTTGTATCCCCCTCACAGGGGAGACAAGGAACACAGGGGACACAAGGGACACAGAAGACACAAGAGACACAGGGAACACAAGTAACACAAGATGACCCAAAAGGACACGGGGGACAAAAGGGACACAGAAGAACACAAGGGAAAAAGGAGACACAAGGAACACATAGGACACAGGGTATATAAAAGACACAGGGGAGACTAAAAACATAGGGGAAACAGGAGACACAAAAACACAGGGAACACAGTGGCCGTAAGGAACATGGGAGACACAAGGGTCACAAGGGACACAGGGGACACAAGATGAGGCAAGGGGACACAGGGGACACCGGAAACACAACGGACATAGGAGGGCAAGGGACACAGGGGACACAGGAGACAACAACAACAACAAGACACAAGGGAAACAGGACACACAAGGAACACATAGGACACAAGGGAAACAAGGGGCACAACGTGAAACAGGGGACACAAGGAGACACAGGGAACACCAGGGGACACAGGGGACTCAAGTGACATAGGGGACACAAAGGGACAGAAGGAGATACAGGGAAGATAGGGGACACAGGCGTCACAGGGGGATCACAAGGAACTCAGAGGACACAAGGGACATAAGGGACATGGGAAACAAGGGGACACAGGGGACACAAGATGACTCAAGGGGACACAGTGGTCACAAGGGACACAGGAGGACACAGGGGACATAAAGGGACACAAGAGGACACAAGGGATACAGGGAACAGAAGGAACACAGAGGACACAAGGGGAGACAAGAGACATAACGGGACACAGGGGACACTAAGGAACACAGGGGACATAAGGGACACAGGGAACACAAGGGACACGTGACACAAGGGGACACAAGGGAACACAAGGAACACAGAGGACACAGGGGACACCAACGACACAAGGGACACAGGGAGACACAAGAGACAGGGGACACAGGGGGGCACAGGGGGACACAAGGGACACAGGGGACACAACGGACACAAGAGGACAAAGGGGACACAAGAGGACACAGGGGACAAAAGGGACAAAGATAGACACAAGGAACACATAGGACACAAGGTACATGAAGGACACAGGGGACAGTGGCAACATAAGGGAAACAGGGGACACAGGGGCCATCAGGGACATGCGGGACACAAGGATCACAGGTAACACAAGATCAAGCAAGGGGACACGGGGGACACAAGGGACACGGGGGGACACAAAAACACAGGGGACACAGGGGCTATTGCTGGTTTTTAGTGTCACACCATTCAAAATAGATCAAAATAAAAATCAAAACCGTTCAATAGATAAAGTCCAGAATCTGGGAAATGAAAGGAGGTATATATACAAAGATCCTCGCCAAGATTCAGGTCAGAGGAATATTTTGCATACGAGATATCCGAAGAAATGTTTTACCCAAACTTATAGAGATTTGCATGGAGACGCCATGCTGGTGCTCACGTGGATGAGCTGCAACATGGCGGACGGAGACCAAGAGAAACATCTGTTATCGAGTTTTGCTACAAAAGCGTGAATTTATTCTTCGAGAAACTCATAAACATTAAAGTAATGCTTTTTCTCACACATGAACTGTTTAGATAGCAAAATTTCCTGAAATAAGTCTTTTTTTTAACCTACATGACAGCTCTCTTGGCCGTCATGTAAATGCTGCGTCACGCAAAAGCATAGAAATTCAAGCGTACTCTATTACAAAACCAAGAACCCTTTTGAAGCGAAAATTTGTATGAAAATTAGTTTTCAGCTGCTCTGATGCATCGTGAAAGTAAAATCTCGGTAGAATCGATAGTTTTTTGGTTTGAATTTTAGTGACATCATGTGAAAACCAACAATAAGGGACACGGGGGACACAAGGGACACAGGAGGGGCACAGGGGGACACAAGGGACAAAGGAGGACACAAGGGACACAGGAGGACGCAAGGGACACAGGGGACACAGGAGACACAAGGGACACGGGACACAGGGCACACAAGGAACACAGAGGACACAGGGGACACAAGGGGACAAAGGGGACACTGGGAACATAAGGGACACAGGGGACACAATGGGACACAAAAAACACAGGGGATGCAGGGGACATAAGGGACACAAGGGACACGGGAGACATTGGACACAGGGAAGACAGGGGACTCCGGGGGACACAAGGAACACAGGGGATATAAGGGACACCAGGGACACAAGGGACACAGGGGACATGAGGAACGCAACGAGACACAAGGGATACAAGGGACACAAGGGGACACATGGGACACAGGGGGACACAAGAGACACAGAGGACTCTATGTCGGCTGTACGAGGCTAGTTACATCAACGTGGGGAGAAACACAAGCGATCAACAATCGGCAACCACGTAAAGGATGAGCATGGTAACTAATGAGTCATGACCCACTAATTGACTTTCTGTTCTATCGTTTTCATTTCGATTTTCCCTGAATCAAGTCTTTCATTCATAATTTCCTTTACCTTTACACAGCTTTTCTTCCTTGTCAAACTGAAATCCTTGATCGCATCGACATAAGTAATCACCATCGGTATTCTCACAACGGATGAAATTGTGCCTTCCACAGGGCATGGTCATGTTGCTGCATTCATCAATATCTGAAATCAAATTTAGATAATGAATATGAACAACAACCAAAGCCAAAAACTACAGTCAAATATATATATATATTTTTTTTTTCTATACTAGAAATAAACAAAGATTAGTGAGTGCGACAACGATCAGAGTTGGTCCCAACGCTTTTGCTGTAACGCTGTGCTTCGCTTGACCAGTGCAAAAGCTCAACGCTGAGTACTTCAATTCTTGCTAATATCACCGGACGAAAAAAATTAATTTGCACAAATTTGCTTGTGTTTTAACCCTTGGACGTACACGAAAATTTATACCCCCACCGTGGTACAAGGAGGGCGGAGGGAAGAATGGAACCCCTCCGTGGAGTTTTTGATATGTTGCAGTGTTTCGAAACGATTTTACCTTCAGTGGAAAGCCTTTGATCTTCTTAACAAGATGAGGTATATTTCATGGGTGGTGACGCTGCTGACGACCTGTGACGTCACCAACAATGGTCGCCATCTTGGATTTTACCAAGAATTAGAAATCAGGTTAAAACCGGGAGAAATGGTGATTTTTTGTGCTTTACATGAGAAATAACACATAAATAAGCACTTTGCCTGATTCTTTTATTGTTCAAAGAAGTGGAAAAACATGTATTTTCGCCCAAAAATGGCTTGACCACCTGCTACTATGACATAATCTCTCGTAACCATAACATTTGACCATCACTGAACTTGTGTCAAAATGGGCACGAGGGGTGAACGAACAGGTACTGAAAACGCCAGGTCCTGATGTTTTATCCTCTAGGAAAAAACTCTGAAAAACCTTAGAGGGCCATTCACCCCGCCCCCGCCAGTATCGCCAACCCCGCCTCCCCCCGCCCCCTCGCCGTGTACGTCTGAGGGTTAAGACTTCAGTATTGCACTAAAACTAAACGTTTGAAGATTTTCTTCAAACTTCTATACTTTTGAAACCTGAACTGTATTCAGAGCGCCGTCGTTGTCGACCTGATTCGCTCAACATAACTTGGATCCGGCAAGAAACAGCAATATGAACATACATGTACGTATGGGAGGTTTTCCTTTTTCGGCAAGATCTTTGACAAGCTCACCTTCGCATTTATTTTTCGCTACATCGATAAGATAGTAGCCCTGATCGCAAGAACATTTGTAGGATCCATGAGTGTTCGTACATCTTTGACCGTAGTCGCATATCCTGTCAAGAGTACACTCATCTAGATCTGAAAAGGGAATGTGGCATTAATTTATCCCGTCATCTAACACCAATAAGATGCGATTCCGTGATTCTTACCCCCAATTAATTTTCTACCGACATTTAATTTGGAAGTCTTGACTCTTCTGATTTATCCTCTCCGCTCTATACCTAGCGTATTCGTACATGTATACACCTGACTGAAAAAGCGTTGTGGCCTGAAAAGTATAAACCACGAACGATGGGACCTATAATGGATTTAAGTGTATTTAGCTTTCCTCTTTTCAGAAATGCTTACATTGGTTGCAGTTACACGGGTCACTTTTCCCATGGTAAATGACCCTTTTACCGCGGGAAATTGTGTGAGTATGTGTGACCGTAGTTAGTAGAGGAGACTGGTTAGGAAACCCGGCAAACATCGATGTTGAAACAATGGTGCTGTAGGTTATGTTGGAAGGTCCACGTTTCTATCACGATTGCCCTTACCGTTTTGCTTCAGTACGCGTGACATTCTATGTTCTACTCTACTCGCTTTGAAACATTAGTCTTGTGCGTTTGAACAGTTGTTGTTTTAAAAAAGCTCCACCGGGTTAAAGACATCACGTGAGTTCAATCTTTAAGCAACATTTTTTTTTCAAAACTTCGATGGTAATCGTTTTAGTTTTTCAAGCAGTTTATTAACTGATTTCAAATTTCCCTGAACGGACAGAAAAATTTAGATCCAGCTCCCAGTTCCGACTTACCCAACTGGATCCAGTACAGGGTAATAATTAACTGGCTATTATTATTCATTCAAAATATTTCCCTGGTTCTGATTGGCTAAAAGAACACGCATAATTCACCATAACCAGCTACTGATGACCAAATTTGGAAGAATTTAGCGATCAATGAACCAATGACGTCAAAAGGTGCAGCCTTCTTGCAGGTTAATGCACCGTTAACCGAGAAGACCTGGGGATGAGGTTGAGTTGTTTTGGTTGTAAAAACAAAAATTGCAGACATTTCACTCGTTTCAAGAGTAAGAACTAGGCGAAATAAAAGGTAAAAACAAGGCAAGAACAGCAAGAAGAGAACTCGAAGGGCGACATATTTGTGGAGCTGAACAACCCTAAACGTGCACTATAGATGATGAACTTAACATCGATGGAAGTAAGTATGTTTTAGCAACGTTTTTAAAGTAGGAATTATTTTGAATGAATAATAAAACAATATTCTTAAATTAGGCTTTTGTATCATATGAAGAATTATGGAGCTACACAATTCTTCATACGATACTCAGCCTCATTCATTAATTGTTAATTAGCTCCACCTGAAAAAAGAAACGTTTTTTCATAATGACTTACCTAAGCATTCCTTATGTGGATTTTCGCCTGTAAAACCGGACTGGCATTTGCAAGTGAATGAACCATTGGTATTAACACAGTCAGAGTTTGGAGGGCATTTGTTCTTGTTACTGTCACACTCATTTATATCTTTAAATGAAACAAATTATAATTTATAGTGACTCATGGGGATGAAGCAAAAGGATCAAACTAAGGCCTTGGCTATAAAAAGGTAGACAGATAAAACGGTAACTTGCCTACCCGACCTACCGTTAGTTCAGATAGAAACTACTGGAATAAGGTGGGTTGCCTCAGATAACTTTTTTTTTCTTTTTCTCGATAATAAGGTTACTCCCTTAGCCAGCCCACATTTTCTCCTTATACAGTGTTACAAACAATTTAGCTAGCGCAGATGGATTAACTCCGACAAGGCGAAACAACCAGAGTTTGCGCGAGTATTGTTATGTGATTTTAGCTCGGCCACTGGGGTCAACTTTTTTATCATAAAAATGTTGACTCAGCTAGGTGGGTGACACTCTCACCTGGAGAACGTTTCTTCATATAAATGGGAAATATCATAACCTATTTTGAAACTCTACTGCGAACGGATTTCTTCTTCATGGGTAACCTGCGATCAGGCGATTTTTTTTTTTTTTTTTTTTTTAAATCGCCTGATCGCAGGTTACTTCATGGGTAGAGATGTAGTCTTCTTTTATAAATTATTTATAAAAGAAGACTACATCTCTACCCAAAGAAAATCTAACCGTGCCATACTAAGCTACAAAAAATTACCTGCCAAACAAAAGAAGGTTTACCTTCACATTCAAATCCATTTCCCTTGAAACCATCATTACATTGACATGAAAATGAACCCAAAAGGTTGGTGCAGACAGCATGTTTTGAGCAATAATCTTCCTTGTTGAGACATTCATCAACATCTTAAACGTAAAATGGAAGGTTTAAAGTGTTATGACGTTGTTGAAAGTATAGCTTTAAGGTCATTCTTGTCTCGACATTTTTACAGTATTTTCAACTTCATGCAGTAGTTAGTGAAAATCTGTCAACTCCGCAATAAAAAGGGTCTTTAAATGACTAAAACTACCATGTTTGAAAGTTTTTTTTTTTTTAAACTAACAAAGATATAGCTTCTCATTAAGTCACGAAATGTTCAGTGTAAAGGCACATGGATCAATTTACGTTTCTGGGAAACTGCCCACCTAACCCTCCCCTAACCCAACATTTTGCCCTAAGTGAGAGGTTAGTGTTAATGTTGACTTAGGGGAGGGGTAGGTGGGCAGTTTCCCAGAAATCCATGCGGGTACAAACTTGCCCTCACCATGAAAACATCTGAGTAAATTTACACAACTTTAGGGAGCTATATCTCTGCTCAATCAACCCACAGACGTACACGTAAATTCATACCCCCACCTTGGTACAAGGGGAAGGGGGCTGATAAACGCCTTCCTAGAGGTTTTGATAAATTGCAGTATTTCGAAACGATTTTGCCTTCAGTGGAAAGCCTTTGATCTTTTCAACAACATGAGGTATATTTTATGGCTGCTAGCGCAACTGAAAGCCTGTGACATCACCAATAATAATTGCCATCTAGGCCACCATCTTGGATTTTAGCAAGAATTAGAAATGAGGTTCAAACTGCACGGAAGTGGTAGTATTTTGTGTTTGACATATAAAATAACACATAAATAAGCACTTTGCATTATTCTATCCACATTATTAACTTCCGTTGTTGAAAAATGAGAAAACATGCATATTCACTCAAAAATGGCTTGACAACCAGCTTTTACGACATCATATCTCGTAACCATAGTAACTGGCCATCATTAAACAGGTCTTAACATGCGTGCGAGGGATAAATGAACAGCTACTGAAAACATCAGGTGAGATGTTTTATCGTCTAGGAAAAAAAAAACTCAGAAAAATTTCAGAGGGGTGGCAACGACTTCCCCATTGTACATCTGAAGGTTTAGACGTACCACTTTCAAACTTGGCAAGTTACCTGAATTTTTACTGCTCTTTCCAGTAAACGGTGTGTGATTTATGGAAATTTATGGAAGGTAATAAGACATACGAATGTGCTACGAAGATGTTGGGTTTCAGGTAGTTTTGGAAGAATAAGAAGATAAAATGAGGTAATAGTAGAAGACTGCATAGAAACTCACTGGGGAGGTTAAATAAAAAACAAATGAAAATATTTCCTTGTGCTCCCTGTTCTCTCTGCAGGTGTTTTTCTGTATTGTTAACTAATTAAATTGAAAACGTTTAGATTTTTTTTACCGACACATTCTCTAAGAAAACCATCCCCAGTGAAACCAGGTTTGCAAACACACTCGAATGTGTTATCAGGTAAATGTCTGCACTCAGCTTTAATCGGGACATCGCAATGGGGTAGTGCTCTCAGACAAGGTGTCTGCGCTGTTAAAAAAATAATAATAATGAAATATTAAATAATTACTATTTAAACAGGGCAGGAAATCGCACCCAACACAGTCGCCAATGCGCCTAAGGCCCGGTTGAGACACCGAACTTTCCATGCGCCGGACCTAATTCAATTTAACGCCGACCCAAATTATTTAGACCGGCTGAATTGACTCAGGCGCCGGTCTTAATTCCATCCGAACTAAATTCAAAAGAAGAAAAATGCTCATTTCGGTCAAACTGCTTTCAAAATACGCTGTAATAATGCATTAGGTTCGGTACGTGAAAAGTTCGGCGTCTGAATCAAAGCCGTTAAAGTCGCTCCGAAGGCGAAATTTCCCAGCCGGACTAGGCGAAAAAAAACGGCTGACCTGTTTCAAATTGATTCAGACGCCGAACTTTTCATGTACTTAATTCAATGTATTAGGTTCGGCTAGTGAAAAGTTCGGCGTCTGAACCAGGCCTAAGTTTTACCTTGCTGGCGACCAAAGATTCAAAAGTTAGCGTTGGCGACCAGAACTCTTCAGATTCCGTACATCCTACTTTATGTATTGGGCGATTAATTAAAGCTTGAAGGTAGGTGAATCGGTACGAACGACTAAAGTCTGTAGCAAAATCGTCACGAACTCTAGGAAATGAAGATATCAACGTCCGCCATCTTGGATTCTCCAAAAGTAACTTTGTATATTGTGGAATGAAATGTCCCGTTCACTAAAAAAGCGTATTGCGGGCTCACAACATTCCGTACTTTTCCGATTCTACGTGCTCTCACTTAGCTTTTCCAGTGTTTCAGGTGTTAGCAGAAATTGGAATTAGTGTTGTTAGTTGTAATGCTAGAACACTAACGCCATTAAGCAATGGCTTGGAAATAAAATAGCAGTAAAAATAGTTCAGATAACTCGGGTAAATGTTGAAAGAAACAAAAAAGGATCTGTTTATTTCATTCTGGCAGTTGCTGCGAAAACGCAACTTGCTACTCTTTTGTAGTTGTAATAAAATGTTATTTCTGACGAATGAGCCCGCGAAGAAGGCAGAAATAAATATTTTGACGGCACGAGATACAACAGGGCCTGGGTACTAGGCCGGGTGCACCATGGGTAGCCATATCGGGGGTATATAAGGCTGCGTATATCACGTGTTCGTCATCTAGGCTTACGAGCCAACCTCTCCTTGGTTTTTCTTAAATTTTTGTTTTATTTATTTTTAGGAGCAACATATTCTCGATTACATTGTAAAGTCCCGTAGGAAGGGCTTTGAGCTTGAGCCTTGGTTCCTACCCCAGATTTCCTGCCCGCATTTTTTTTCCTTCGGGGTTTTTTTTTTTTTTTTTTTGGGCAGGTTTTTCTGGCCTCCGTCTGACCGCATTTACTTCAGTTTGTAAGCGGTAGCTCAGCTCTGCTAGTTTTCAGCCTTTTTCCCGTTTCTTATTTTATGTACTTGTACACTAGTTATCTCAGTTTTGCACCTGCTCCTTTACTTGATATATTTAGTTTCCATGTATGCTTAGGTCAGCTGTCCCGGAACCGCTCTTTAGGAGGCGACGTAAGTCTCGTTTGACGCAGTTAGGTTGCAGGCAATGTTACAGACCTCTAGCCAGGGTCGTTATTCATTGTTTACCCTCAATGTCCCGCCCTAGCCTTTTATGGCAGTCTTACTGGTTATTGGGCTACGTGCCTTGTTGGGTACATTAGTGGAGATAATTCCCAGTTTTCCTGGCACTCAGCCTCTGTGCTCCTGAAGTGTTCCCGGTCCCAGTTATACGTTGATCACAGTTTTATTAAATTTCCCCGGCCTAACTGGCACTAAGCCTGCGTGCTTATTTGGGGGATTCAGGTCGAGATCGACCAGTTGTAGCAGTTTTTTCTTTTTGCTTAGCCTCTGTGCTCCTACCGTGTTCCTCGTGCCAGTTATGCGTTGTCTGAGTTTTATTAATTAGTTTCTCCAGCCTAACTGGCAGCCTAACTGGCACTAAGCCTGTGTGCTTATTTGGGGGATTCAGGTCGAGATCGACCAGTTGTAGCAGTTTTTTCTTTTTGCTTAGCCTCTGTGCTCCTACCGTGTTCCTCGTGCCAGTTATGCGTTGTCTGAGTTTTATTAATTAGTTTCTCCAGCCTAACTGGCAGCCTAACTGGCACTAAGCCTGTGTGCTTATTTGGGGGATTCAGGTCGAGATCGACCAGTTGTAGCAGTTTTTTCTTTTTGCTTAGCCTCTGTGCTCCTACCGTGTTCCTCGTGCCAGTTATGCGTTGTCTGAGTTTTATTAATTAGTTTCTCCAGCCTAACTGGCAGCCTAACTGGCACTAAGCCTGTGTGCTTATTTGGGGGATTCAGGTCGAGATCGACCAGTTGCAGCAGTTTTTTCTTTTTGCTTAGCCTCTGTGCTCCTACCGTGTTCCTCGTGCCAGTTATGCGTTTTCTGAGTTTTATTAATTAGTTTCCCCGGCCTAACTGGCAGCCTAACTGGCACTAAGCCTGTGTGCTTATTTGGGGGATTCAGGTCGAGATCAACCAGTTGTGAGGAGTTTTTTCTTTTTGTTTAGCCTCTGTGCTACTACCGTGTTCCGTGTGCCAGTTATGCGTTGTCTGAGTTTTATTAATTAGTTTCCCCAGAATGACTGGCAGCCTACCTGGCACTAAGCCTGCCTGCTTAAATGGAAGATTCAGGTCAAGAGCGACCATTTGTCGCACGAGTTTTATCTTTTTGTGAAAGCTAGTTAACAAGTGTTGTACATTAGGTATTCACCAGTATTCACCTATTATTGTATTTACATAAATACTTTGTAGGGTTGGTTCTCGCCAAGCCGTCCCAAAATAAACTTATTTGCCATTACGTTTTGTCTGTTGATGTTGTGTAGTGGAGTCAAAATGTAATGTTTCACTACGTTTGTTTATCGAGGAGCCTGTGACTTGGATATGTTTTTATGTTTACTCATCCCGATCAAATCGTTACTGCCGTGACCTTTTCATCCTTGGTTACTAAATGAATTAGATTTTCTGAGCGAGGTAAGAAAGAACTATTGCAAATATATTGATATATTTACAGCTGTATTTATGGGGATATTTGACAAGTTAATATTTATGAAAGAGACATGGTTTTTTTCCGGTTATGATGGCAGGTCGCATATTCGTTATGTTGTCCAGTAAGATATTTCGTAAAGTTCAAATTAGGAACAATAGTTTAGGGAATTGTCAACTTAAGTTTCTGAAATTCAGTTTGAAAGACTTTTATGATTTTATTCTGACTTCCTGGCTGATAACTGACTAGCATGCTTCGAGGATTTTTCAGATCATTCTTATTCTTGTTACTTACAAGACAGCAAAAAGAAATAATAGTCAAAAATGACACTCGTCATTTATAACGGGAGTTATTTTTCCCCACGGAGATCCCTTTTATGCCCGAAACATGCGAAAAATGATTCATTTTGTACAAAAAAAAAAGAAAAAAAACAACAACAAAACACCATCAGGATTTTCATGGAAAAAAATTACTCTATCAAAACTTGCCAATGAAAATGCTCTTTTACCTTCACATTTTTTTGTTGCATCTCCCCAGAAACCATATCTGCATTTGCAAGAAAATCGTCCATCCAAGTTCACACAGATCGCATTCTTAACGCAGTTGTGAGAGCCAAGCTTGCACTCGTCAATATCCACACACTGTTTCCCGTCTCCAGAGAAACCTTTAGCACAGACACACTTGTATGATCCATCTGTGTTGAGGCACTCAACACCCTTTGCTTTAAGGTCACAGGGATGCTGTTTCTTTGAACACTCGTCAACGTCCTCGCAGGTTCGTCCATCTCCTTCGAAGCCTTTATTGCAGTGACATTCATAGCTTTGGTGAGTATTGACACAGGTAGCCAAGGTTTTGTGGCACTTGTGGATTCCAAGTTTGCATTCGTTGGCAAGTACACAGCTTTTAACCCCATCACCATAATAACCCTCCTTGCACTCGCACTTGTATCCACCAACAGTATCCACACACCGGCCATGCGCATGACATGATCGACTTTTCTATGGGAAAAACACGCATGTTTTCAGTTAAAATGCATCTTATATGTACATCTTATATGTTACAGTTATGTAAGAGATACTATACGTTAGGTGCTGCATTTTTACCGTGGTAAATGACCCTTTTAATTACCGCAAAAAATTGGTATTGTACTGATCTGACAAGAACATTCCTAGTTCATTATCACTGAAAATGATGTGATGTGGACATGATTAAAAATTGACAGGAACTCATTTCGTACCTTATATTTTTTTAACCCTCGGACCTACAAGGGGGAGGGAGGATGCTACCCCCTCCGCCCCATTTAGGATTTTCTGAGCTTTTCCCAGAGGATAAAACAACAGCACCTGACGTTTCCAGTAGCTGTTAGGTATTCCTCTCGTAAATTTTGAGAGAAGTTCAGAGGTGGTCAGTTACTATGGTTACGAGATATGACGTCATAAGTAGCAGGTGGCCAAGCCATTATTTGCGTGAAAATACATTTTTTTTAACTTCTTTCAACAATAAAAGTAAATCTTGTGGCTAAAATCATGCAAGTTCTTATTTATGTGTTATTTTTCATGCAAAGCACAAACAATTACTATTTCTCGCAGTTTAAACCTGATTTCTATTTCTTGGTAAAATCCAAGATGGCGACTGTTGATGGTGACGACACAGGCCTCCAGCAGCGCCACCACCCATGAAATATACCTCATCTTGTCAGGAAGATCAAAGGTTTTCTAATGAAGGTAAAATCGTTTCGAAATCATGCAACATGTCAAAACTCTGGGGAGGGGTTCCATCCAGCCGCCCCCCCTGTACCACGGTGGGGAATTTGTGTGTACGTCCAAGGGTTAAATACGGTCAGCCAAATGAAGACTCAAGTACCTTTTAAGTCTAATGAGCCCTCAATATCAGAATAAAAATTCAGACCATCTTGTCAGGCAAAGGTTTTCTAATGAAAAAATCCATCAACATGTGGGGAAACCATATTTATTGGGGTTGAGTTGGTTGCTTGGATAGGTTTTTTCTTATCCCGTCCGGTGATCAGATCCCTGACTTGCCAGCATTGATAATTGGAGCCACATAACGTCATTCTAAAAACGAAATTAGTGAGAGCATTTTTGCGTCAATTTCAAATTGTTTGATCCGAATTTGCAATTTCAGACAAACGGAAACCCACTTTGGATACTTGTACCACTAAAACTAAAGGGTTATTTATTTCTTTACATATTTGTTTATTTATTCTTACCGACGGTTCTTTGCACTCCACTTTATCTTCGCATTTTAGACCGTCGCCCTGGTAACCACTTTTACATTTACACGTATAAGAACCAATTGTATTGATGCAGTTGCCATGCCGACTGCACTGATGTTTCCTCGAAGTGCACTCGTCAAGATCCTTGCACTGCTTAAAATTTCCATGGAAACCATGTTTGCATACGCATTGATATTTTCCTGGAAAATTCTTGCAAATGGCATTCTTGTGCTTTTCGCAATAGTGCTTTTGACATTGAGTGAAACAAAAAATAGAAGTAAAATTAGGGTTAGAAAAGCAAATTGGATATAAATTATCAATAAGAAATTCTACAAACTTTGTGCATGAATTAATACTTGTTATATTCTAAAACCTAATGAAACAATTACAGATCAAATGTTAAGCATCAAAAGTAACATGCATATCACACTGTAATTAGTATTTTTTTATATTTCATATACAATATTATTAACTATTATTCATTTATTTATCACTAGGAATATTGATCATGACAACCTTCCAGTTGCAATCTGGAGTAAATAAATAGAAAACGCACTCGAACGTCATATATGCCCTTCCCCAGACTGCGGACAGTGAAATGAGGCCGAGCTTGGATAGAGAATCAGTTTCCTATTAATCCCTCATATGCATTTTGTCAAGTCTCGAGTTGATGCCATTGTTTACTAGAATGTAAGGACGGTCTACAAGGGATCATAGTCTAATTTCTGCGTCATACCAAGAGGTAGCTAGCCTCCACGGGACGTTTGATACTTTTGGGACCACGAAAGGAGTGGATATAATAAAGGTTCTTCGATCGAAAATTAGACTTTTTAGGCTTATGCGCTTATGATCATAAACTACATTTTACCTTGTTTGATAAAATTGTACACCGATCGATCTCAACGCATTTGTGGCGCCCGTCACCTTTAAACCCTCTCTTGCAATGACAGTGGAAGCTCCCAAACGTGTTTTCACAGATGGCATCCTTGTGGCAGTTCTTTTTATTATCACATTCATTTACATCCTTGCAGTCTTCTATGCGGGGATTTTTACCTGTCAGACCAGCTTTACACTCACACTCATAAAACCCATGGGTATCTTTACATATTGCGTGCAAAGCACATGCGGCCATTCCTGTTTTGCATTCATCTTCGTCTGGGCATTACAAAGAAATAAGAAACAACAGTCGTCAACAAAAGAGCCTAGTGGGGTGGGTGGGGTGGGGTTTCCGGTATTTACCTACCCCTACACCGTATATTTACATCAACTCATCACAGACAGACTTTAGATATTGGATTCCACGCATTGGAGTCCGGATTCCAGTTACTGGAATTGGAATTCCTTGTCAGTGGAACTTGGATTCCGGATTCCAATCGTTACTGGGATTCCGGTTTTCAGATTTTCAGATTTTATTGTTTTTTCACTATTTACATATTGATTACATTGGAATTTTAATTTGTAAAAGTACCCTAGGGAACAATGTCAGAAATAAGTGTGTAGTGACCAAAGTAGCTAATGCTTCCGGGTTAGTCACTGCCACGTACGTTAAGCTAGCTGACATAGACACATAAGCGTAGTGACAAATAATAATACAAAGAGAAAAGGTGCTAAAGTAACAACATTGACGTGTATTAAATAAAAAAAAACACAAAGAAAACAAAGAACAAAACAACAAGAACTACATGGCTAAAAGTGGATAAACTAAAGTAAACTAAAGCAATATATTCTAGGAAACAGATTGCGGATTAAGCAGATATAACTTGAAGTGTTTAGAGAAGCGGCAGTAACATAGTTTTTTTTAAGCTCCAGTGGAATAGTCTCCCATATTTTCGACGCAATGAAAGAAAAAATGGAAGCTCCATAGTTATCATTTGTTATTTGAGTTGAGTTCCGAATTTCAAGTTCTGGATTCCGGATTCTACAAGCAAACATTTTCCAGATTTCAAACCCTGTGGACGAACCCAACACAACAAGGAAATAACTGGTAAACAATATCTTTGCCCTGTTAATCCTAGAGTAAATATAGTCTTAGTCTATAGTGGATGGAATCTCATGATGTGGACATTATTAGAAATGAACACTCGTCCGCGCTTCTTTTAGTGTGCTACACGGCCGTTTTTAGAGTCGTCTCACAACGTCCCTCCCACAACGCAACGATCCTCCCTCCCCCAGTGGGGAGGAGCGTTGCGTGACGACACCAAAAACGGCTGTGTAGCAGACTACGCTCTTTCTGCTTTGAATTTTCTGAACAGAACAGATCAAAACAGTAAATATAAAAGTTCTTCTTTGTTTTTCAAATTCAATTACAGCCAATAACTAACTTTGACTAACCTTAGTAACCTTGCAATACATGTCCTCCTGCCATTTTGCCCAGTTTCAAACGTCATAATAAGAAACAGCTAACGCTGAATCTCACTTTGAGGTGCAGCCCAATTAAACGCAAGTCGTCGTTAGTAGTAGGGAGCCATTAAGCAAAAACGTTTTCGAAAGACGCATGTCAACCGGAAGTGGACTTTTTGCATTCTTGGTTAGTTGTTTGGGCCAAATTTTGGGTTACATCTTCAATGTAAGATTAAGGAAACGTAGCGATATATATTTGGTAGCGTTGAGGCATATCAAAGGAGAAAAAGCCTCACTTCCGGTTGACGTGCGTTACTTATAAGCTTCCTATTCTATAACGACGCCTGTTCAACATTTATAAAACTTAACCCGACACATACCTGTACATTTTATCCCATCCCATATTTTGGGGATAGTGCAGTTTTGCCGAACAACTGTGAAAGGGATGCGACTGTTATAACAGAGACCTGCTTCGTCTTTACAAACGTCTGGTTTATCTGCATATCAAATCAATAATAAAAATTAAAATGTGATTTATTACGTGACTCGTTGTCCAATAAACATGTTTATTAATTTTCTTATTTCTCATGTTTCTTTTTTGTGTGTTCTGTCCTCCATGACTTGCTATATCATGCTGAATTTTAGCCTGGGAACTGGTCTAATTTCTGATCGACCTGTTTGGATTCTGATTTAGCGTGTCAGTTTGATCAGTTGAAGGATTTTTTCAGTTTGTCAGCCTGTTTGTGTCGGCCTCAGTAAAAACTACCATGTCGCCAGTAAAAGTTGTGAGCCAATGCTTTTGAAAGCAATAGCTTCGTTTTCATAACTTACCGTCATTTTCTTTGTACCAAACGATTCTTGGTTTACGCTTAATCCAAAGAGATAGTATTATTTTGTTCGGAGCAGTCACTGGTTCAAGATACCCATACATGTTTGGCAACCATAGTTTCGTCTTTTTCGGTTCAACGTCATCAGGTCTAACTTCCCTTTTGCTGACAAAGAAAGCATCCTGGGTTTTGTATGAGAGCCGATGCAGTCCTCCTTGTGCATTTTCTAAAAATACCAGCTTCGAGTCGACACTGACGATTCTACCATAGGAAACCCTTGAACGCAGTTTTGAGACTCTGGCAAAGAATTCAACTTTTTCTGAAGGAAAAGGAAATAAATAAAAGTAAGCTGGAGAATTTGCAGGAAATTGGCGATTAAATTGTCGTAGCAATTGTGTACAGGTTAGCATCATGCAGAGAAAAAGCCTAATCGCTGGCTGACATTACAATGAATAAATGACATTGCCGTGCAGGCGAGCATCATAGAATAAAGGTTGTTTTTTGGACACCGTGTACTATAAACAGTGCAATCAAAGCGTCCATTAATTCTGAGTAAAAATACAAAATTTGGGCTGAGGTACCATAGCTCTATAGTGCCACTTTAAAGGTACGAGCAGTACTCAGTATCTTTTAATATCTAGACCATCAGCAAAAAGGTATTTGTTACTTACTGTATCAGACAGTATTTGTCAGAAATCAACTGAGTCAGGTTGTTACAATAACGCAGGTAGTTAATATTCATCACTAATATGGGCGCTTTTAATTGTAAGATTCTCAATATACTGCCTGCAGTTGCCTTTACGACGAAAATATCTCTTTTGAAAATGTTCTCGTACTTTTTCGTGAAATTTGAGCATTCAGAGAGAAATAGCTTTTAAAAACAATCATAGTACGACCTTTGAAAACACTTTTAACTTTTCATTTAGTAGTGCAGATGCGACATGCGTCTAAGTTTCCTTGTTGGTGCTGTAGGTTTTGTGTTATTGTTTTAGTGTTATTACCACTAACATTTTCAGTATTATTATTTCTTTTTTGTACTGTTTTTCTTTGATAAGATATGTGGTAGATGGTAAATAATAATTTCTGTAAATTTAACATTTACTTGTATTGTTTTGTGTTTTTTGTATAGGTAACAGCACGATTTGTAGTAATGTTTGACATAAATACCATGAGTGATATTTCGAAATTGTTTTACGTAATTTCACGAGCCGTTAGGAGAGTGAAATTTGAGACAATTTTGAAATATCACGAGTGGTATTTGCTGTTATTTGTTTATACTACTACTTGCAAAAGGTTTGTAATTTTCACATGGAGGTATTTCAAATTAAGCTGAAATACCCATGCTCTAAGCCAGTCAAATTGCAGAAATTTCTCATGTATTAGTATAATATAATTTATACTACTACACGAGAAACTGTTTAAAATGCTGTTGTTGAAGAATACGAACTGGCTAATTTCCCGTAAATAGTTCATAAACGGCACAATGTTCATGCAATGCTTACCACACCACGCACTAAAGATAACTCGTAATTTTTCTCTTTCGAAGCTATGCAGCCTAATGGTCTGCCCCTTATAATCTCTGTTTGCATCTATTAGCTTTTCGACTCGATATTTATTTCCCTTAATCTCGTGCACGCGCCCCGCAACGTAGTGATATCCAGGTGTAAGAACACAACAGTTTTCTCTGATCTCTGTTTCTAGAGGCAAGTGACTTGGAATAACCTGAAAAAGAAAATTAAATAAATAAATAAATACATTCAGTGAAACCGGCTCTGAAATGCAACATAAACTTGGTAGAGGTGAAATCGCCATTTTATTGTAAAATTATACAGAAAGCACCCTAGAAAGCAATTTTTCAGTGGGCATGGAAATAATATTCATCGGTCACTCTGGTTGTAGTAACTTGTTACAGGTTACAGCCTGTAACTCTTGTTTTCAATTTGACCGCAGAACACTCATTTTCAAAGAAATCTGACAAAGGCGACAACAGTAAAAATGTATACTAAGTGAAAAACTGAATTCGCTTCCCTTCCGAAACTATTCCAACTCGTTTTTAAATCTTTTAAAAAAGTGGGAAATAAAACTGAAGCTGAAGAGGCAGAACCGCTTCCGTCTCAGATAGATAATCAGTAAAATGTATTGCCTTCTCGTTCAAGTTGCTATAGCTAGCTGTAGAAGGATGGCAAATAATGAAAATAAAAACGTGATACTCGCGCCGAATTATTGTTTTGCAAACAAAACCTATTCCTTTTTTTTAATTCTTCGTTAACGTCGTCGTCTGAGTTTCGTAAGGTCCATATAACTGTATATTGTAACCACGTACCTGTGTGTAATCAGGATAATAACTGAGAGGTTCATTGCGGTCATGTACTTCCACTTTATACGTATCTAGATTAATTTTCTTAATACTTGTCTTCTTATAGGACATTGTTATTTGATTTTCCATCACGAACACCTCATCGCCAACTCCTGTTGAGAACCAAGAGTTACATTATTTTTATGAGACCTCCAATTGAAAGGATTGCCCTGAACTTCTGTTCATGTAGTTTTGGGCTTCCATCAAAGTTGAGACCCTCGAAATGCCGCTTAGCTTACATTGTATTACTTCATTTTTTTTGGTTACAAAAACGATTATTATTATTTCGGTAGTGACTAGTATTATGACACCATCACCGAAGCCTATGGTGACATACGCATGCAGGCAACGCATGCACCCTGCAGTAACTCCCCTGGCATGGCAGTCATGATTAACAAATGCTTCATGTCAATAAAAAAAAGGTGCAAGAAGGGTGAGAAATAACAAGTTTTTGAAACACTGAAGGTATTTAACAAACTTAAACAGGTACAGTACTCACGCAAATACGGATTTCCATATATTTCTACTTTCATACATAGCCTCCCAGTACGGTCTAACTTGAAGCCATAAGGGAATATCCTCACATAACGACCGACCTTCCGTTCTCTAGCGACGCTGTATACCTTGTCGTTTTCGTTTTTACCCCCATAAAACTCTGGCTGAAAAACAATCATGACGATGTCAGGGTCACCATTTATCGGTTTTCAATAATAGGTCATACTTCATTATTTGCAAGAGAACGAATGAACATATGTCAACCCTCGCCTTGCTAACCCTGCTATAACGGACGCCCCCAATAATACGGACAGCAGCTAAATCCCAGGCAAAAATAAGATACTTGACGGAAACAAATCTTGCCATTACGGAATCTCGCTAATGAGAACACTTATAAAATTCCTCACGGTGTCGGCGATAAAAGGGAGTTGATCGTATTGGATATTTAAGTCATCGTAAACGAAGTATCACCTTAAGCTCCTCCTAAACCCTGAACAAGTGCAACTTTTGAGTCAACTCCCTTTACAGGGGACACAGTGGGGACCTTGAGTATTAGTGTCCTCATTAGCGAGATTCCGTCCCTAATGGCGGGAATTTCATTTCCAGTGAAACATCTGTAGTTTATTTTTTGCCTAGAATTTAGCTGCTATCCGTACCTTCCCTTGCAACCGATTTAATGGGTCATGTAGCAGCGGCTCGGAAGAGAAGTCACCAATAGTGCCTAACCCTGACCCCAAACAATACTGAAACAATTCAAAGAATGGCATGTCATTGCTTTCTGCGACCAATCAGGAGAGACCTCACTTCCTCTTTCATTCTTTGTCCACAAAAGAACGGAGGCCAAATATAGTTCCCTAAAGAGACTGCTCTATGTCTTAAAACCAAATGCGATGATGAATACTACCACCAAACCCTTACATGCTACTAACTCCATGTAAATTACCTTGATATAATTCCATGAATCCCAGTAGTCTTTCTCAGGAGTGACCTGTACTCTATACCTAGTTGGCCAAGATCGCCTGCACCCCCGCACCTCAAATCCGCAGACAAGAAATAGACTTCCTAAATCGATTTCCAGATATGGGTGTTTATCATTGCGATCAGGTATCCATCCATTGCCACCATGCATTCGTGCTTCGTAAGTTTGTGCAAACCTATCCACTGTCGAAGCTTTGATGTTTTGGTTTCCGATCTTGTTGTACCCTATAAGTTCCTTACCGCAGTCTAAGAACAATTACGAAAAAAACAAAAAAGAAAATTAAAAAACTGAAATTTGGTGGAATAATTTTATCGTCTGGGCGAATGTTCAGTCCACACTCTCTCTCTATAATGGGCACCTTGCTAAAACGGACATCCTTCAGGGCTGGTCCCTGCCTTTCTTTGCTCCTTTTAGCTGATTCTCAATAACACGGATACATAGTGCTGGTGCTAAAGGTGTCCATCGTTAGGAAAAACTTTTCCGTAGTCCTGAATGGACTGCTGTTGACAACTACTGGCATTTCGAGAACCTTTGTTGTAGTTTAGTCCAGTTGAACAAAAAAATTTTAGATTGAAAATGCCATTCCCCGTATAATTAAAGGTGATCCATCTGCAACCTTACTGTAAGTTAGAGCCGGATCCCCCTTTTTTTCTAGAGAAATTCATCGCAATCTAGCGATACTTAATATCAGCTGTCTTTGTGATTTTTATGGCAAAACATCGATTTGCAGCTGACTAGAAATTTCGGCAACATGATGATGTGTTGAAAGAAGTGTTCAAACTTACATCTAGACGTAGCCTCCAATACGAGGTGACAAGAGAGCAGAAACAGGAAGGAGGCCTTGACACAGCAAGGTTTCATGTTTGGTTAACCACTGTAGCCAGCCGGGTAACACGCTTTTGATTGTGCATGCACAAGCAAGCTATTGTCTCGTCATTTTTTCGCGCGCGCACTAATCAAATTAAATTCTAGAATTTTGAATTTTATATCTTACAATGTTACAGTCACTTGGTGATCGAATTCGATCTTTGACGGCATGCGGCATCTGTGCATCAGAGCCTAGCCAGGGTAGTCGGTCGGTTCAAGCGCCCCCTCCAGCGGGGTTGGTTCTCGGTCAGCGGGCCCGAGTTCAAATCCTTGGCTCCTTGGCCACGTTTGTGAATAGCCAACTAGTTAGTCCTCCGGCCAGTTCAGGATTCTTAACGTTTAGAATTTTAATTCCAACTATTTGTTTCTATCCGTGTTTGTAGGCCACAACAAAAACTGCTGGGTTAGTAGTAATTAAATCTCAATTGTTAACCCTATAAATTCATTCCTATCTGATGATTTCAGTCGTGGCTAAAATAGCTGACTCGACTCAAATGTAATGCAGGTCAAACCTGTTACAGTGAGGGTCTATATTGCCTTTCTCAATATTCTCTGTTAAAAAAAAAATAAAAATAAAAAATAACAACAAATTGATAATAATATTAATGATAACAATAATAATAACATCTTTTACAATAAAAGGAAAATAAATACACAGATGTACATGAAACAAAGCCTCGCAAGATCATATTAAGTATTCAATACAAACCTATTTTTAAGTATTCGAGATTCTTAAATGAGTCAGCTTTTTTGGCTACCAAATACGTTTTGGTCTATTATTGGATATAACTGATGACCTCCATTAAACCTATGCAATATTGTTCGAAGGAAAGCTGCGACGCAAAAATGTATTGTTAAATCTAAACCCCAAATAAAATGTGTTATCATTATTCTTTATCGAACCACTGTCTCCATCTATATTAAGAAAGGATTAAGAAGAATTAGCATTTCAGAAATCAGTGGAGCACAACGAACTTTTTGCTGGTAGGTCAGAAACGCGTTACATCAAACATTTCGTGACAAGCCTTTTAAATTTTGCTTGCGTTTTTTTAATATTACACCGCGGGCCTCTCAGCTGAATCATAGTTAGAAGTGTCAATCGGAGTTTTGTAAGCGTTCTATTTTAACTGAGATCGTTGCATTTCCTTTTGAATGTCAAACATGGCGCAAATGGAATTCCGTGCTCTCTACGTGATTATAGCATGTACCGTATTTTTTACGAGCAAATCAATTCAGGTAAACGTCGAAAACGATCAACGAGCTCCCGTCGTGCAGACCAAGTCTGGTGCTGTTGTTGGGGAAATTGAAACCTTTCCACACAGCAAAGCAGTGTACCAGTATCTTGGTATTCCGTATGCTGAACCTCCGGTCGGCGAACTGAGGTTTGCTGCTCCAAAACCGGCAAAACCTTGGTCAAAAATAATGGATGCTACAGAATTCGGTGCAATATGCCAGCAGAACAGACTATTATTGGATATTTTAAAAGTGGTAGGAGGTTTTGACGACTATCTAAAAACAGGTATTTTTATGGTCTTAAGTTAACTCTTTGCTATCTTTTAATATTCTCTCTTGATTCTCCATTTTCCTCTATCGAGCAAGCTGTTCATGGTCAATCAAGTGTGACAGCATGATTTATTGAAGTAGATCACGTTGAGTTGTCAAACACGATTCCATGTTTTAAAAGGCGCTGTAATATGGGCAACAAAAACCAGCAACTTGCTTTTGCTCTTTTTGCTCAGCTTTGTGAAATTGCTGCAAAACGAGTTGAAAGGGATGTTGTTCGTTTCACAACCCAAGTTAAAGCCTGTCTCGCAACAAATAAAGGGAGTTTGACTAATGGTAGCAGGTCGCGGGTCGCGGGTCCAAAGTCGGGGTCACGGGTCCAGTGTCGTGGTCGCGGGTCCAATGTCGCAGTCGCGGTCGCGGGTCCAATTTCGCGGCGGGGGGGAAATGATTTGGGGTTCGAGGTAACTGAGTGAAAACGACTGATATGAAAACAATATAAAGGGAAAAAATCTTTTTTTATACACGATACTCTAAGGTAGCCAATTTACAGGTTATGGATGTTAGAGTCAACAAAATAATGTCTCAAGAAAAGACCTTACCATAAGTTACCATTGTTTTCTTCTTGTCTATGAATTGCTCACAAATACTTAGGGGTTCATTTACTAAAAAATATGCGATACACTTCACAGACTACAAATTATAAACGTTACAACAACTTTACACATAACTGGGCCCCATAGAAAGAAAACAAAATGAACTTCCAGTGAACACAAAAGTCGACCAGCTTTTTCTTTTAGGTCTTTTCTTGAGACATTATTTTGTTGACTCTAACATCTGTAACCTGTAAATTGGCTACCGTAGAGTATCGTTTATAAGAACGTTTTTGTTCCCTTTATATTTTTTTCGTATCAGTCGTTTTTACCTCGAACAATAAAGCTGGCACTTGACTGCTTTCCATTCGACTTACATGTAAAATTGTTAAAATGCACTTGAAATTTCTTTAGCCACGTTTTTCATCGAGGAAGAACAATTTTGTTTAGTTACCACTCAATAAAACAGTGGCTTGTAATGGTGACCTGTGGAATGAGACCGCAGAATGAAAGCTCTCCACTTTCTACTGAAAACCTTTGTCATGCGTTCAGCCCTAAGAACATCTACGTATGGGGCCAAAGCGAAGCCCGGGGAACCTAGTTAGTGTGATAATGCCCCACGGACCCATAGCCACAAAAGTCATTGCCTTCTAGATCCCACAAAAAGAGAATCTTGGGAGGCTATACAGACAAGTGTTCAACCACTTAAATAATGTTCTTTCTAACTGAAATCATTTAGCAAAGATGAGTGAAGATTGCCTTTCTCTCAACGTGTTTGTGCCTTCAAATATCAAACCCTCTGAGAAGATAGCGGTCATGGTGTGGATTCATGGCGGTGGATTCGTAACAGGAAGTTCCGGCTTTACCCCTGGTGCGGTCCTGGCTTCCTTTAACGATGTCATTGTTGTATCCATTAACTACCGTCTAGGGGTGTTTGGCTTCTTCAATGTTCCAGGGACTAACTTAAAAGGAAATTATGGAATGCTGGACCAGGTAAACAGTTTCATCGGTTATATTTGCGTAAGGCAATTAGATGAAGAGAAAGTCCAGTGTACGCCTGACTTTCTAAATTCGCAGTCCCCTATTTTAATTCTTCCTGGTAAGCACGTTTATTTATTTATTTATTTATTTATTTTTTCAATTTAAAACCAACAGGTGTTGGCATTAAAGTGGGTTAAAAATAACATTGCCAGTTTTGGCGGAGACCCTAACAGAGTGACCATATTTGGCGAGAGCGCTGGAGGAATGAGTGTTTCTCTTCATTTACTCTCGCCACTGTCCAAAGGTTTGTTTGACAGGGCCATCCTGCAGAGTGGCGCTTCCTCGACTCCTCTTTTCTGTGGAAAAGTTTCCAACACAGCGCAGTTGGAGTTATTTGCTAAGTACATAAAATGTGATTTGGGGCAAGACTTTGTTCAATGCGTTCGTGGCAAGTCCGTTGAGGACATTTTAACGACGCAGAAGTTATTCACTTTGGATAACTTTGACAGGCGTCGGACACAGGATTTTGTAGCTCCTGTAGTAGATGGAAGATTGTTACCAGATCTCCCTGAAACTCTTTTTAAAGCAGGTAAATTCCAAAAAGGAGTCGATGTCATAACCGGTTTAACCTCGAATGAAGGAGGCGTGTTTGCAATGATACGGCCACCAAGCCAGTTTAAGGATGGTTTGGAAAAAGATGTGTTTGAAAATATCGTGAGAACTCAGACACTATATCATCGAGAAAAGAGCGAAATCATGGAAGATCTTATATTGTTCCAGTATACCAACCATACAATTCCTCAGGATAAAAATGCCATTCGACAATCGATGTTGGAAATTTGGGGAGATTCAGCCTTTGGCGCACCTGCCATGTTGGAGGCTCAATCACTGGCAAAGGTAAGATTTGGATTACCTAGCGCGCGTTTATAAACATCTTCAGGATCACTTAACTTCTTCCGGTTGGTCGTTACAAATGCACGGCTCAATCCATAAAAACTCCATAACGGAACAGATATTTAGTAAGAATGGGAGGGGTTGAGGAACTCAATTGTCTCATTTTAATCACCAACATACATATTTCACTTTTGTTCAGATAAGAAGGAAATACAAATAAAGGTTTAACAAAAATCAAGACAACCAAGGAAATGAATAAAAATGTGGTTCAGCCAGGATCAAACCAGGCTTCCACCAATGCCCAGGTTCGGAAGTAGGGAGCTGGTTTGGGCTGAAAAAAAAAAAAGGATAAGAAGCTCGAATTTTTCAAATCTTCGGTGATCACGGGTCACAAAAACGACCGGCTTGAGGCATTTGTGTAATATTCCTTCAGAAAGGGATATTATAATTATTTTCTGTTTCTGTTTCATTTAACAGAGTGGAGGGTCCACATACATGTACGTGTTCAATCATCGCGCAAAACATTCATCTTTGGCTGATTGGACTGGCGTTATTCATGGTGCGGAAATCCCATTTCTGTTTGGAGCACCTTTCAAGAACATACCTGATCCTTGGAGCAACTCCATTGCAACAAAGTATTCCGAAACAGAAAAGGGACTAAGTTTGTACGTTATGAAACTCTGGACGAACTTCGCCAAGCACGGGTAAGGACACCTAAAAATAATTCATTATCATTCAGTGATCTCAAGGTTAGATTATATACTATCAAGGTGCGTCAAGGACATTGATGATCATGATGTAGAGTAAGGCCCATATCAGCTGTATCTGTACGCCGTAGATCTTTTTTATCATAATACACTGCAGAATGTCTCCTTCAACATTCATTCAACATTTGTTACAAATCTTTCCTGACGATACATGTATAATTCTAATCATCGACTAATCATCCTTTGAGGCCTTTAAGTTCTTCGTATTAAGGCATTCATTCTCTCCTTTCGTTTCCTCCCTCATGGAACTAGCCACATAATGAAAACACCGCGCGTTTATAAGCCGGTTGATCACTCCACCCAATTACAGTCAATACATTCACGACACACAATAGACTAAGTTCCGCGATGTTTGAACACACTTGCCTTGATGTCTTTCTTTAGTACTCCAAATCCACCTGACGTTGGCCCTACAGCCATCACGTGGCCTGTATTTACAGAAGAAGAACAGGAGTATCTAGTCCTCGACATGAAACCGAGGGTGGAGCGTAGGTACAAGGCAAAAAACATGGCATTTTTGGAATCAAATGATTCCAAAAATGGCAAAGATTGTGACAGATGAGAGAAAAGCCGTAGATGAAAAGGTTCCAAAGGATGAACTATGAGTAATTTTGACAAAAATGCGCCGTCCATTAGGCTGGAGCATTCTCCACTCAATTCAACGTACGAAATTTATTCTTCTAGCATCTAGACATCTACTAGAGTGATTAGCTTATTGCGGTTTAAATCAGAACCTCCAACAATGGATTTCTCAAAATTACTTCAAAAATCATACATAGTTTATGGAAATGCACAATGTTTCAAATTTCGGCAAATTCATGCTAAGAAGACTGATGGATAGTCCTAGGGCACCTTTACCCTTCTCGAATCTCTGAGGGCTTTCTCGCTATTTTTAGGCAAGTCTTAGATGCTAATTAAACGTTTACAAAAAACTCAACACGTTGTGATTCCTGCCTCTTTCCGTCCCTAATACAAAAGCGAAAAATTTCAGGAGTTCTTTTCAACAAATAATGACCAAATCTGGGGAGGGAGATGCAAACAAAAAAGACATTTTCCGAAAAATCCTTAGGAAGTTAAAAAAAACTTCGACAATCTGGGATGAATGAGACAGTCATCTAGAAATTTTTAGCCGTTTTCGAGCTATATAAATTTTACACAGTGTTATGTGCTTCTTCGAACAGATATTTTACCGAAAACAGTCGTTTGGCGCTTATGCTAGAACTGATTCATTTACACATGAGAGTACTCAAAGGGGCTGTTTCTTAGTTGTCAGTTCTTCAGGCCAAGTGCTGCTAGTTGGGAGCTTCGGTAAGAAATCAAAGACTTTGCTGGTGATTAAACTTTTACAGACTTTACTTCCTGCGACTCCCTTTGTTTGTTTGTTTGTTTGAAAATCTTTCTTGGCTGGGCGCCACGTGCCCGATATTTCGACGCTAACTGGTAAGTACAAGGAGCGTAAAGTCCAGGTGAGAGACACTCGCAATGCTCAGGCAGGCCTGTGCCCTCGCCTGTCCAACATCCTCAGTTCTTTTGAAAATTTAAAATTAGCCGGGAGGATTTTATCGGACCATCAATAGTGTCCCATACGCTGATCCTCCGATCGCAGGGCTAAGGTTTGCAGCTCCAAAACCTCTCAAGCTTTTGGTTAGGTACTGAAGAGATGCCACAAACCTAGGAGACGAATGCCCATAGCTAGTTACCAGTATAGGAAAGATAAAAATAATTTAGGTATGCGTCTATATGCATATATGCTATACAGGCTAACTACAAATCTGGCATTTTATTTCCTTCTAAAAGAAGAAAAGAGGGCGTCGATTTTGGAATAGACAACTAAAAACATTGCATATATTCTTGGTCAAATCGATGAGAGTTCCCCATGTCATTCGTGTCACCTATTAACACTTGACTTCGAATTTATTTTTGAAGGCTATGTTATATTAGAGTTAGTTTTTTTACTAATCCGGGAAACAGTAAACATTAAAAAATTGGCTAATTTAACAGAAAACAGTAAAAATCATGGGCAAATAACACTAAACACTAAACTCCATTCAGCATCCTTCAGATCCTCTCATACCTCTTAGTATAAATTCATGCCTGCGAATTCCAAAACCCTTAAGCGTAATAAAACCGGAAACATTATTTTTGAATTCAGGGAAATCTATACTAATGTGAAAGAAGCTTATACTAACCCCTAAATGTGGCGGTACGTATTTAACAAGGTTTAATCGAAATCGATTAGAGTTAAAAAAGTAGTCACGCGACTTCACGTGACTTGCTGTCGATAGCCCCTTTTTACTCGGTTCTACGTTCCAGAACCGTAATGAATCACTTACAAACAGTGATCATTCGTACTATGCATTCATTTCAAAACGAATCGACACAAATGTATTGACCTAAACCTGTGTGCCCTGATTCCTTCGTAGAGGTTTTGTTAGTAGCTGTTAGCAATTTCCTAATTGGTGCAAACGTCCTAACGTTTCCTAACGAAACAGACAACATGTAAGGTGGCGAATCCGGACCTTCAGATGCTGGAGGGTCTCAAAAAACATTTTTTTCGGCCCTTCGGGTCTCACTTTGGTCTAAGAATAAGGGGCGGGGGGGACCTCCCCTGAATCAGCCGCTGATCTACTGAGAAATAGGCGAGAGCCTTGTGGTGACTAGGACGGCCAGGTTTAGGGTAACTGGCTTACTAGTATGTACAATTTCACGTAACTGTATAAAGGTCTACAAATTGTAGAGACTCCTGCAACATACATTTGCCCTACCCAATATCGAATTAAAATTAAAAAGATTACTGCAAAGACTGATCAAACAACGTGTTAAAGGCTGAGGTAAACAATATTTTGACTGGCCTGATGAAGACTGATATTGGCCAGTCGAAATATTGTATACGTCAGCCGTTTGTTTTCTCTTGTAGTGTTTGAGTGTACTATACAGATATTCAGCTCTAATGCCCAAATTTCATCGCCGATGTTATTGGCTGCTTCGGGTATTTCACTTGTTCAAACTTTTAAAGCCCCAATATCCACATACAAATTCTCCTGATTGATTTTCATACATTTCCTTAGAGAATAAATTGAGAGAATTAAGTAAAAGATCAAAGCGCTTTTCCTGTGGTGATAAGTTTATTAATTCTTCTAACCTTTTCTGTTCATGATGTATGAACATTGTGAGGCAAAAATTGATGTTGGTCACTTTTGGCACTTTAAAAGGGTTAAAGTCACAACAGGATGTTTGAGTGATCTTTTATTTGTCCCTCTTACTTTAATTTAAATCTGTAGATGAAATCCTATGTTGTTACCATTTAACCGAATCGTCTCTGGCAGTTCTTTCACATGGTACTATAGATTTAGTTAAGTAAGTAGTTCTAACTTTTGAGTCTCTGGATGAAATCCTATGGTGTTGCCATTCAAATGAATCCTCTTGAGCTGAACTTTTACATGGTGATATTTATTTTTAAGGATTTTACAACTTTAGAAATTTGGAATTTTTGCGTTAGGGTTATTAATAATATCGAAAATTGTTTATGTGTTGTAGAATCCTCAGGTTGTGTTGGTGCATTACCTGAACCTAGTCGAAGAATGCAGCGAGCCCATTACAGTGTCAGTATACATGTCACCAGATAGTCATGATGATATTTCACAGCAGCTGAAAGCAATCTGTAAGTATGTGCTCTGAATATGCATCAGTCAATTCATGATTCATTAAACTGGTTCAAGCAAACATCGCAAGTTTTGGCGCTGATCCAAGTAGAGCAACCATATTTGGCCAGAGCGCAGAATGGAGGCTACTAAATGCCCAGCAAGAGAGAAAAAAAATGAGGCAAGAAAAGCGAAAAAAGAGGAGAGGAGAGAAAGGGAAAAATCTCGACCCAGAGCTCTTCTGCACATCACACTCAACCTTATGAAATAACGCAAATATTAACAGCACTTACGCACATAACCAGCGTCAATAGAGCCATAGTCCTTACCCACACTTAACAAAATCCGTCCACTTTTTAATCACGAGTAAACTAAGCTTTAATTTATTTATTTATTATTATTTTTTATCTCAGAATACTTTGTCCATAGGACGTTTGCATAAAGTTCCGATAAGCCTTTAAATCATCAGTTATAAGAAGGTATTAATGGCGTGGTAACTTTTACGGTTATCGGCTAAAGTTTTGGCTCCTTTACAGCTATCGCTTATTATTATTTTTTTTCCGTTACGGTTAACAAACAAGTTAAAAATAGCAAAGAGCTAAATATTAATAAACCAGTTTTTTTCTTTCTTTTTTTAAAGAATAGACTGTACAACATAAACAGGAAAAGACCGTGCGAGCAAATAGATTCAAGAGAACTGGAACATTTCTGTGACTCCCACATTTACATAACGTTTACAAGTATCAGAGCCAAATTGAGAAAGTACAACTTTGAAAATCTTTAAATGCCTAAAGTTAGCGTTGTCAGGCGTCCTAATTGCCAAGCTGCACAGATATTCAGGCAGAAGATTTTTGGTCAAGAAATGATTAGTAGTTTGTTCTTGTTATATTAACATGCATATCTGACAGCCGAAGCATAATTATAATGACAGAAAGCAAACAGGAATACTGTCGTAAATGTTGTGTTTGTGAGGTCACTGGAGATATTTTAGATTGAATTGGACTGGACACTTATGAGGCACAGTATAACGGACTCCTTAGCTGTGTGATTACGAGATTGGCGGGGTGTCACAAAGTTAGAGAATTTTTATTTTGTTTATTATCATTATTATTATTATTATGGCAGTACAAACGTCTGGATGCCCAGAGTAAAAAAAATGAAAGCTTTGGCTGGGCGGCAAACCGTAACCAGCCGCAGCATGGACTAAAATTGTAGTAACAATTACACAATAATTTGCGCAAAAAAAAAAAAAAAAAAAAAAAAAATGGGTAAAAATGATTTGATAAAAGTGTCATAAAAAAAGAAAAGAAATAAAATAAAAAGGAAAAAAAATCCTACAAGCTTTATGGACGTCTCAATCGTAAAGTAAAAATGTTCATAACTTAAAAACTATCGTTCATACAGCTGTCCATTAAAGTTGAGAGAAAACGTCTTAGGTATGTCACTAAAATTTCGATAAGAAATCTACAAGTTTAAGTATCTGTTGAAATAGGTGTCCAAAATTCCTATAGATAGCTAACCGCTCAGCTTGAACATTCTAGCAATGTGTAATGAACTGGTCAGGAGTGCCTCCTGCATTTGGCGCATAATTGATTCACACTTGTCTCCTACAAGCTCTTTTATATTTATATTTGGTATATACACACTTAGTGATCTTGGTGATTTAAGCAATCTGATTGGTTCGCTATCTCGGACTATTCAACAATATTGACCTCCTAGCGAGTGAATAATGTGTGAGCTCGGTTTTTTCCCATTTTCTTACAGAAAGATCTTTTAAAAGTCGACAAAATCCTAGGGTTGACTTTTTTTCGGGCAAGAAAAGACTTCGAAGGATTCAAAACGACGTTTTCCATTTACTGTTGTTGAGTTTTGTGGTCGATAGATTGTTTACAACTCCCGTTTATTCGCCTAGAAGATGCCGTTTCGTGAACTCACGGTTTCCTAACAAGAAAAATTTGGCCCAAAAACGAAGTTTATTTATGACAAACAAATCTGAAAGCAAATGTTTGCAGAAATTCTACATTTCAAGTAAACACGAGAAAGAATGCTACATGAAGATGACGTCTTACCTCGAGGAACCGAATCGCCATTTTATTCAGCACTTAATGCGAAGAACGACACAACAAACCTTTTTGGCTATAAACTTGGCGAGTCAACAGAAAACGACAAAGCTCTTCTTTTCTTCTCAGGTAAGGAAACAATTCAAACTTTTAGCGGTTCCATTTAAGTCATTACGCTGCTGTTTGCGAAGTCAGATAAGCTTGTAAATTGCCATGTTTGAAAAAAATCTATTGTAAATCGATCTATTTTTAAACTGTCGCGTGTCTAGCTGACCTGATCTGTCAATCAAATCGTACTTTTTAATGGTTTCCTCTCTGATTTTGTTGAGATCACTTCGTGTGCATTTACTAAAACAACTATTCCTTTCAATCTCGGCGAATAGTGGCTTTAGGATTATTTACCTCGCCACTTCGTGGCTCGGTAAATATTGAGCCACTATTCACCTCGATTTCAAAGAATAATTGTTAATTATACACCCTAAACAGGGGCACCCAACGAGAATATAGTTCAAAAGCACTTAAACATAGCATTGTTAAACGTATTTTAGTATTTAAACGGTAGATAAAGGCATATTTTTATCCCCTAAAAGTTCTTCATCTGTTCGAATTTCCTAGCTGACAGTCTATAGTGATCCGAAAATTGTAGGGATCAAAACTTACCTTTTCGAAAATTTCAGCCAGAAAAAAGGCTCCCGAAAATTCTAGGAGACCTTTTTAGGTTAAAAATCCGTTAAAAATATGCAATTATACCATTTTTAAGATGTTCGAAAATTCTTTGAGAGGCAGGCAAGCAAGAAGTTTTACGACAAATGTTCCGAAAATTCTAGATCTCAAATCGTCTTCCGAACAGATATTTTTCCGAAAATTGTCGCTGGGTGCCCCTGCCTAAACAAAGTTATAATTCAATCGTCTTTCGACTGGCGCTACGTATTATCATAAAAAAAAAAAAAAGAAAAACGAATCTAAACTTGGCCTTAGGCAAAATAAAGAATAATAAGAATAATTCGGTAACAGTCAATCTTCTCTCACGTCACAACTTTAACAAGAAGCACTTTAGAAAATTACTGGCGTAAAGCAGTACTTTACTGCGTAATTTGTTTAACTTCGGTGCATTTAGGGTCGAAAAACGTTTTCCTTTCTGCCCTGTTTTAGGAAAAGATAACATTATGTTATTAACCTCGGATTACAGTTCATCCTTAGGTGTCTTTTCATTCACAGCTTCGGGTTTCTTTCTCGTGAACTCTAGCACCTTTGGAACGATTTTATTCCAAAACGCCACCTTCTCTGCTCTAAAATTACGCTCCACCCTCGGTTTCAGATCCAGGACAAGATACTTTTCCTCTTGTTCGGTAAACCGGGGCCACGTGACTTGAGTAGGATCAGAGTCGCGTGGAATTGGAAACCTAAAGGAAAAGATAAAAGCATGCATGATGCAACCCAAAAAAGTCCTATGTGTCTTAAATGACTTCAAATTAATAATTACAAATATCGTTCGTAACTGACATTTTTTTGGAGGTTAATCTAAAGAATTCGATATTCATTCAAAATACGTTGCCGTTTCCGGATTGGCTCCCCCCCCGCCCACAGGTAATTCTACATAACCAACTGGCGCTGACCAAATTTGAAAGACGCGAACAATATAACATCCATTCCATGGTATATCTGATTGGAAGCGAAGTTAGTCTACAGAATAATTGATTGGGAATGAGGCTGCATAGGCAAAAGACCATCGATCAACCTCATTTCCTGGCGCGGCGCCACAGCTGTTTATTCACGAGTGAACTGAAAAAAGGAGTTCAAAGACGAAACAGCTGAATTTCTGATTAAAACTGAAGAGAAGAAACCCAGGACTAAGCAAAACATATGGATGTTATCTTCTTTATGAGGAGTATCTGCGAAAGTAAATGCTTATATCCTTGAACTGTGCCGAGAAATAGGCCAAAAATTCAGCAAAAATTCTCAGAAGGGTTAAGCTTGTAAGGAGCTTAGAAATACTTTCAATGAATTAAAACAATTATTGAATTCAGCTTTCACATAATGTGAAGAGTTATGCAGATCTCTGAGGCTGTCATATACCGAGGCGAAGGACATGGAGAATAGCAGTCCCTTGGATATGCATAACTCTTGATATCATACTCAGCTTTATTCATGATTGCTAAAATAATATAACAACACTTACTCGCACATAAGCATCACACTTACCCAAACTTAGCAAAGTCCGTCCACATTTTCATGACGTGTAAACTGAGTCCTTTTTCTATCTCAGATTACTTTGTCGATAGGACGTTTACATAAGGTTCCGATAAACCTTTAAAAGGAGCACCAAGCACAAACGCAATGTCCATGCCATGGGCCACACCCATCCATTCAGGCAAAGGCGAACACTCTGCACGATGATTGAACTTGTAGACGTAAGGTGGTCGTCCTCCCTGTCAATTTGATGAAAAACGTTACCTCAAGGAGGGACATTAGTGAGATAAGGCAACCACGATATTACATCTCGTTCAATTTGCCAAATATTTGAAAATATTTCTAGAGTTGGTTCGAAAAGTCTGTATCTAAGTCCAAAAAAACAGAAAGGTGAAATTGTTGTCTCGTGTTCACGTTCTTCCCAAAACCAGAACTTAGGGGTTTTTACCTGCAATATTTATTGGGACAACTTGGCTCTCTTCCCACATCGATGTATAAATGTTTTGGGGAAAGTTTCTAGGATTAGGTGAAACGATTGTCTAACGGGGCTAGACAATCGTTCCATAAGTTTCACTTGAGCATCAATAACCATTCTTTGAACACGTCTGACATTTTCACGAATTTTAATCATAAATTGACGTTTACTTTACTCGCCTTGGCTAAAGCTCTAGCTTCCCACACAGCGGGAGAAACAAAACCTGAATCCGTGAAACTGTCCATTAACAACTGTCGCAAAGCATGCTTGTTGCCAGGGTCATCGTGGTTAGTGTACTCAAACAAAATCAAGTCTTCCACGAGGCTGTTTTTCAGTTCACGGGAATAAAGCAGCTCCTCTCTCACTACGGTTTCAAAGAATTCCTTCTCCACTCCATCTTTGAAAAGTTCCGGTGGTCTTATCAATGGTAACAACGCTCCTTCATTTGACGTGAAGCCCATTATGACATCGACGTCATTAAAATTGCCTGCTCCAAAAAGATTTTCTGGTAAGTCAGGTAGAAATTCCCCATCAACTATCGGGCCGACAATATCTAAAGGTCCCTTGTAGCTCCCCATTGTAATCGCCATTTGTCCCTTGAGAATCTCTTCAACAGTCTTGCCTCGAGCGCATTCAACAACGTTGTTCCCCAGGCTACAATTAATAGCTTTTGCAAACGCTTCCAACTGCAACGGTTTAGTGACTTTTCCACAAAACAAAGGTGTTGAGGAAGGACCACTCTGCACAATCGCTCTGTGAAATAACCCTTTTGAAAGTGGCGATACTAAATGCAGCGAAACACTCATTCCGCCCGCGCTTTGACCAAATATGGTCACTCTTGTTGGATCGCCACCAAAACTTGCAATATTGGATTGAATCCACCTTAAGGCAAGTACCTGCCATAGACAAAAAAAAAAACATTCAAATAAACACACTCTGTTTAGCATCATCATCATCATCATCATTTCACATATCCATTACATAACTATGTACATCACTATGGTCGAAACAAGAGCGGGGGATGTTGAACGTGTACTTAAATTTGAGGCTGTGAATGCCAACTTATAAGAGAAAGCTTTATTTTAATTTTTGATTTTTGAGTTAAAATTAAAGGGCCTCTAATTTGATGCCGGGCGCTTTTTTCAAGGCAGTGCTACTATCGCTATTCAGTCACAGGAGCCGCGTCCTCTTATCCTTCGATACCCTCGAATGGGTCATTCTCTTGTAGACTGTACAGAGCATGCTATATGCACTAACGCTGGGTGAACGTATTGTATTCTGCATATTCTTTAAGGAGGACAAGACGATTTGTAACACAAAGGGGTCTTCATTCGAGGGGAGACGCTAATTGGAGCATTTGTGGTAGTTCACTTGGTGAAAACTACTTCCCCACCTGATCTAGCATCCCATAATTTCCTTTGACATCAGTGTCAGGGACATTAAAAAAGCCGTTGACTCCAAGACGGTAGTTGATTGACACAACAATGACATCATTAAAGGCCGCCAAAACCCCACCATAATAACCAGAGGAAGAACCCATAGAGAAAGCACCGCCATGTATCCACACCATGACTGCCATTTTTTCTTCGGGTTTGATGGTCGATGGGACAAACACGTTTAGGAAAAGGCAATCTTCAGATCCCACTGTGAAGTAGACAGCACATGTTATTTGGAATTTTGTAAGGATATATTTGATAAAAATAGTCCTTAGATACGAAAACAAAAATTGGGCCGTACAGTTTGGACTTACCCTCTTTGGATATATAGGACGAAACAACAAAATGTTCTTAGGATAAGCTGCTACATAAAGTCATCTAACAGTGGAGGATATAATGTGTCCAAAACGCAGCGACTCAGGGTAATGACTGAGGGGGCGAGGGTAACTCCTTATTTGACCTAAGAGAGTAAGGTGCCGCTTACAGGGTAAGCTTTTCAGGGTTTTGTCATGCAATAGGTCATTTTACAGTTGTATGATTAGTGCCCTGGCCTTTGAATAGAAGCCAGTTTCTCTGGACTGAACGTGTGTCTGCAAGTTGGTCTGGGAGCTTGTATGAACATTTGTCTGAAGGTTTGGCTGGAGGTTTGTTCGAAAGTTTGTCAGAAAGTTTGTCTGGAAATTAATCTACTATATTTGTCTGGAGGTTTGTCCGAAACTTTGCAAGGAAGTTTGCTCGGAGGCTTGTCCGGACGATTGTCTGGAAGTTAGTTTAAATGTGTGCCTGGAAGTTCATTGTCCGAACGTTTGCCTGGGTGTTTGTCTTGTGCTTTGTCTGGAACTGGTCTGGAAATTTGTCTGGAAGTTTGTCTAGGCTTTAAGCAGAAACATTGACAGGAAGCTTGTCTGGAAGGGAAGCTTCTCTGGAAGTTTGTCTGGAACTTTGTCTGGATCTCTGTCCGGAAGTTTGTCAGAAAGTTTCTCTTGAAATTTGTTTAGAAGTGTGTCTCAATATTTTTTCGGACGTTTGTCTGTATGTTTGTCCGGAAATGTTTCTAGAAGGTAGTCTGGAAATTTGTTTAGAAGTCCTGAGGTTTAACAGGGTAGCGAAATGAACGATTTTTGTCTTATACCGGGTCAGGGTTTGAAGGCCTTGCACCTCGACCCGAATGACCAAACCTCCGAGTCCCTTAGGGGGTGTTTACATGACACCATGGCGACTTTCGAGCCGGCGCGATTACACTCCGGTTCCCTCTCATGGCTCTATATATTTGTTTACGTGATACCACCACAAAATGTCATGCCGGCGCGAGTCACGCCAGCGTGAGTTCACCCCGGTTGTTGTTCCGGGGCGAGAATTTCACTCCAGTACGAAATCTCGCAACGGTATCCTGTGAACGAGAAACGACAAGATACGCGATGCGAACTTTCCTCACTTGCAGTCAATGGCTGAATTGCGGAGGAACCAGAGAGGTGAAATCTGACGTCAGCATGTAAAGGCGCACTCTTGCAGCCATTTCAGTCCATGTTTTGATCACACCTCGCTCACCCAGACTAATGACGGCACAAGTCAGATAGACCATGACATCGGGGCTTACGTCCCCTTTTCTTTTCGAACAATGTCACGGGTTGTTTTACGTCCCCATCCAACTGACGTACAAGGATGAAGAAGACAAGACCAACGGCTTAACTTGATCGCCCAATGACGCAATCATCTGTACTGAGAAAGGAGTTTCACAGCTAACATGATCTCACCAGTATTTTAAAGACCTTGGTTGATGGTCCGGTCCGGGTTTGAACTAACGACCTCCCACTCAGCAGACCGGCGTTCTTCTAACTGAGCTAACCGGGCGGCGTCCGACCACTCGTTTCGGTGTGAAATCGGTCTGCTGGTAGTCTGGAACGGGTAGCGCATGGCATGCGTAATGTTTGCGATTTTGAATCACACGTGTATTTTATCAACATGAAGTGTACCTTCAAATAACGAGATATGAAATGACCCAGTCATCATGTAGAAGCGATACGAAATCAAAAAGTCATTCCGGTATGAAACTAGCGCCGGTGAGAGTTTTCTCATGTAAACACCCGATTACTAGGTCACCCTGGGGGACACTAAATTTGTATCACATACCAGGTTTTAAAATGATATATATATATATAACTGCCTTTCCCCATTTAAATACAGAAAAACAACATACTTGAGTTAGTCATTCCAGGGACAAAAGGCATCAGACACGAGGCTCCAAACTCCATGGTTTCTTTTATACCCGACCAAGGTTTAACGGGTTGTGGAGCCGCAAACCTCGCATCTCCAACCGGAGCTTCAGCATACGGGATGCCAAGATACTCATACACCGATTGTCCGAGTGGCAGAGTCTCAGCATTGCCAACAACAGCACCAGAGTCAGTCTGCACTACTGGGGAACGCAGCTTCTGGCCGCCTTCGGCTTGGGTTGTTTTCAATGCAGGAACGACGGTCACGAAAGTACAGATTAGCAGATTAGATAAAAGAAAGCCCATTTCGATCAGGAGAAAAAATGGCTCACAGTTCAGGCAGTTGTTTTCCAAAAAGCTAGAGTCCTAACTCGCCAACTGCAGAGATAACCAGGAGAGATTTTTGGTCACGAAATGAATACTATAGTTTGGCCTTGATATATTAAGATATCTGACTGCCGAAGGCAATATTGATAGAGTGCAGAAAGACATACTGTCACAAATGTTGCGTTTGTGACTATGTCATCGGCAATTTTAGATTGGACTGGACAAATAAGTCCAAGGATAATGGACTACCAACCTGCGCAATGAATTTGCCATAACCAGATTTTTGTGTTGTTAAGACGTTGAAAAGTTTCAAAGATATGCATTTCTGTCTTGTTTCATTACTATTATTAAAGATTGAATCATTGGATAATGCAATTCTAGAGCTCTGTTGGCTTGGCCATCTTAGTATATGAAAAGTTTCAAAGATATGCATTTCTGTCTTGTTTCATTACTATTATTAAAGATTGAATTATTGGATAATGCAATTCTAGAGCTCTGTTGGCTTAGCCATCTTGGTATATGAGCCATTATACCATGCTCTCCAAATAAGGTAACTGTACCTGTTTGCTCAAAATTAAAGACAAGCTGAAAACGGTTTCGTTCACAAATAAAGTCGGGAAAACTTCTCGATATTTTATGGGCGTTCTTTACAAATCAATTATTCCATCGTTGGAGAATACAGTCTACCGTCTCTCAAGTAAAAACTTTAAATGTCCTGGCAATATTAAGCGTGACCGACAGTACCGCCTTCTGCATTATTTTCAATGATGTTATGTTGTTTCACTTCGATACCAGGGAACTGCTGTGTTAATTCCCAACACAGGGGTGGGGAAGGGGGGGGATACTTAACGGCCTTACGGACAGTTCATTTCGAGTGTATTGACCTGCTTGGTCTAGTGGTTGACGATTCGCGCGTCAAGTCTTAAGCATCTCACCTCTTCATGATCTGCAAAAACTGGCACGTCCTAATAAGCTTGTACGTCATGTAACACAGGCCACAGGCCTCTATGATTCCCAGAACATGGGACTTGCTCTGTGCCAGCGCACCGCACCCAGACAGGATGTGAGCCACACTTTTCTGGGGCCTTACCACACAACGTGCACCACGCCTCGCCCACCAAACTTGTATGGGTCTTCTGAATCACATTATAATTATTATCATTATCATCATCACTACTGCAAGTAGCAGCAGCAGATGCAGTGGCACTGGCACTGGTACTGATAGTGGTAGTGGTAGTGGTAGTGGTCGTGGTAGTGGTAGTGATAGTAGTAGAATTGTTAAAGTTGTAAATATAGTATTCTTATCCAGGGTGGAGAACGGGGCACTAAATTGGTGAAAGTGGAGTAAAGCGGACGCGCTCTCTCTGAAGGCAAAAATCCAGTAACTGGAATTGTATTGTGCAAGACATGTTTGTAAGATCGAGACTAGGAAATGTATCCTGTTTCCGAAATAGATACGAAAATCCTGAATTATGAAAGGCATTAAATGATTCGTAACTTTATTACCGTTTTGACAAAGATGTGGATGGAGGGGGGGGGGCTTGAGGAGAACAAACCCCAGAAGTTTCTCTCAGAATCTCTGTCCATTTTAGTAATAGAATATTCATTTTGTAGCCCATTTAGGCAAGAGTGTAATGACAGTATGTAATTATAATGGCTACTGTTAACTTCCTCATGCGTTGATGTCATCAGTTACCCAGTATGATGAGTTCGGCACAGGAAAGTAAAAAGCGTACGAAGTTTGCCTGCGGATAACAGCAAGATTCCAACTCAGTTTTGATCAGCTACAGCTCATCCTTTGCTGCCTTTTGGTAAATCTCCTCGCCTTTTTGGCTCAAAAACTTGGAAACTTTTGGAATCATTTCATTCCAGAATGCCATATTTTCTGCCTTGTACCTACGCTTCACCCTCGGTTTCACGTCGAGGACCAGATATTCCTGTTCTTCCATGGTGAAATGGGGCCACGCAACAGCTGTTGGACCAGATTCTGGAGGATTTGGAGTTCTAAAAGACAACGACAGTTCGAGTCAGGGCCCGTTTACATGGAGGCGGGGGACCCAGGTACATGTAGGTGGGGTAACATGTGGCGGGTCACCCCAACTATCATGTAAACGTGATCAAATGAAAATGAGACATTTATGTACCGACGGGTTACCTAAGCGGGCTACCTCACCTACCTTGGGTCCCCCACCTCCCTGTAAACAGGCCCTAAAACACTTGGATAATACCCTGTCACCATCTTTATTCTTAATTGACTGATCAGACCTGTTGGGAGTTGGGGAAGAGGTCGGGCAGTGTATGTATTATTTCATTCCTAGGGGGGTCGCTAAATCAAATGCAAGCAAGACCAAAAATTAAGAATTGCTACTCTTTGACTTATTCTTACCCATATTTGGCGAAGTCCGTGAACATTTTCATCACTTGCAAACTGAAAACTTTTTCTATTGCGGTGAAGTTTTCCAAAAACGTTTCACGTATTGGAGATAGACGAGTTTTCTCCATAAAGGCGAAACCAAATGTAAATGGGATGTCTATCCCATGGATAACTCCCATCCATTCGGGAGTTCCTGCAAACGTTGGTCGATGATCGAACACATAAACACGTGGTAAACGTCCAGCCTGTGAAAAATTAGGAATCGAAATTAATTTACAGTTTAGTACTTGATACATATCATGAAACCCTGAGAATTATTTCCTGCTTTGTTCAAACGATTAGCAGTAGGAAATATGACTGAGATAGATATCGAATGTGACTTAAGTGTTATTAAGCAGGGAAGTCAACTTTTCATCATGGCCGAGACTGCATGCATGATCTGCGTTTTCATCATTGGCCATCAATTATGTGAAAGCTTGTGAAACGAAAAGTTTGGAGCGTAGGTAAATTGAATCGAGTAAAATGCTAAGAGAGAATTCCGAGCCCTTCAAACACACTACGCCTAGGGATTTCATGGTCTGAAGGCTGAGTGACAGAATTTCCTTAGGGGTTAGAAGAGAGGAAATTTAAGAGGGGAGGGAACGAGAGGAGGGCGTCTCTATCTCTCCCTTCTCTGACTCTTCCTCACGCTTTTTTCTTGTCTCCTCCCCCCACCCCCTTTTAAACAGATAATACTCTTGCGTCTTACAAGCAGCGATTCATTTGAAAGGAAAAATGAAGAGAAAGGAACTGACTGTCTCGCAGCCTATTTTTATTATTATAATAATTGAAGTACTTTACCTTCGCGAGTTTTTTAGCCTCCTTTATGGCAGGTGCGACAAACATCGCATCAGAAGCGCAATCCATGAGCGACTGACGAATGGCAATCTTGTTGAGAGGGTCTGCATGATCAGTGTACTGGAAAATAATTAGGTCCTCTATGAGTGGACTCTTTCCTTGAAAATCGCTATAGAACAGTTCATACCTGACGAAAGACTCAAAGACAGTTCGCTCCACTCCATCTTTGACAAGGTCAGGTGGCATCATCATCGCAAACAGGGCGCCCTCGTTGGAAGCAACACCACTTATGACATCAACGTCGTGGAATTTCCCTGTTTCAAACAAGTTAACAGGAAGATCGGGCAGAAATTCGCCATCAACTATAGGACCAATGATATCCTGAGGACCGATGTACCGCTCAAGCAAGAACAAACTCTGTACTGACACAATGTCTTCGACAGACTTGCTTCGCACACACTCAACAATATCGGAGCCCAAACTGCAGTTGATACGTTTGGCATACCATTCAAGTTGTATAGGTTTGATAACCTTTCCACTGAAAGAAGGCATAGAAGATACTCCACTATGCATGATGGCTCTTTGAAACAGACCCTTGGATAGCGGCGAGATAAGATGAAGCGAGACGCTAACACCCCCTGCGCTCTCGCCAAAAATGGTCACTTTGTTGGGATCGCCACCAAAGTTAGCAATGTTATTTTGAACCCACTTTAATGCCAGTACCTTTATTTGAGACAAAAGAAAAAAGAGAAAATTAGCTTCATTAAGTGGCCTTTTATTAGTCACGCGGGCGAAAAACACGACCTGACGACGGCTAGCTACGCCAGTGTAAAAGGACTCTAAATTAAGTAACTGGTAGTCAAAGTGGCTGTTTTGGCGGCGGCGATGATTGTGATAGCGGAATTGAAAGGTGTATAAAAAAGAGTGTCAAACCTGATCTAACATCCCATAGTTTCCTTTGACATCAGTGCCAGGGGCATTTATAAAGCCAAGCACACCTAGGCGGTAGTTCAAGGTCACAATGATGACGTCATTAAAAGCTGCTAGAACCCCACCGCGATAGATGTTAGAAGAACCATACTGGAATCCGCCACCGTGAATCCAGACCATGACTGCCTTCGTGTCATTTGGTTTAGTGGAAGATGGCACAAAAACGTTCAGGAAAAGACAATCTTCATTCTTTTCATCTAGACATCAAAACAGAGGTTTCAATAAATTAAACGCTGTGGCTATATGCCCGACAACCGAGAAGGGTCTTAAAGAAAAAGTAAATGCCCGGCAGTCAGAAACATTTTCTAGAATTTCCGCGAAATCCCTTCTAATCGTTTTAAAGTATTCTACTTTCATTTAGAATTACCAAGCGATCAGGAAAACAAGAATGACTTCGCAGAGGAGCGGTTGTGGGCATAGAGTAGAGTCGACGCCGTTTCGACACTAAAAAAAAAAAAAATTCGTGAGAAGCAACTCACGGGCACGTTTTCATCGAAGCTAATACCCAGCAGTCTGCTTCATTATATGTTTAAACGTTTATTGAACTCTTTGTACCAGCTTGGTTACTCTGAAGGTCGATGACATACTTTTAATGGGGGCTAAAGAGACACTTTATGTTGAAATTCCCCAGACAAATCGGACTGCCGGGTATTTAAACTATAAGAAGAAAGCCGCCCGTGAGTCAACGACAACATAGGCTATGTTCTCAAAACTGAGTAATATCTAACCTCTGGTTAAGAAACTCTGTTGTTTCTCGTCACTCACCAATTCTAAAGCATGACAAAATTTTTTGCAAAATCAGAGGAATGCTTTCCCAAGCTATGTCGACAGTCTAGCTCAAGGCGGCTCGAGGCTAGGAAATAAAGTTTCAAAATCAAAGCACTCTCTCTCCCATTTTTTTCGGAAACTAATCAAGGATAGTATGCATGTAGTATTCTGGAGCTGAAGCGAAGGCTTTTTAACTTTCCCGCTCTGCTTTCAGACTGCCAGGTATTTAGCCCGTGTGAAATCGTTCCCGTGAGTCACGCGCTGCTACCCACTCAATTTTTTTCCCAAGTGTCGAAACAGCGTCGACTCTACTCTATCGCTAAGAAACCACAACCGCTCAGATGCGAAGCCAGTTTTCTTTTCCTGATCGCTTGGTTATTCTAAATGAAGACAGAATACTTTCAAATAATTAGAAAAAGGGATTTTGCCGGGCATTTCAGTTTAAGACCCTTCCCGGCTGTCAGGCATATAGCAACAGCGTTTTGTATCAATCGAAGAATATTCCCCTAGACAAACTTAGTAGTGTGTTTAAAGTAGTTACGAACTAGGTTTTTCCTTATTGAGAAAAAGGTCTTAAACAAAAGTTAACAGCAGAGTCAGCATTAAAGGAATCGCCAACAATATGTCACTGTTTTAATAATACTAGACAAGAGATACATGTGACTAAAAACACGCTGCTTGATAAGTAGGACGCTTAACTTAGCCAAATAAGTGAAACTAATATTACAAGATGATCATAACTAATACAGTCGGACACGATTTTTATATTGCCAAGAAATATTGTATTTCTCCCCTGTGCAAATCCTTATATCTTCACTAAGATGGAATGTTATTGTGACTCTCAGATTATGTATCAGTATATATATGTCGATTTGCGTTTAGTTTGTTCAGATTCAGATAACACATATTTCATGACAAATTCTTTTTATTGAAGTATTCTCTGTGAAAGCACAGGGAGCGACAAGCTATGTTAGTAAATGTCGATACATACACGTATGTATATTGACTTATAGAGCTGTATTTAATTGAATTTAGGCTTTTGCATTTTAAGAACAGATTATTTAGATTGTTTTTATATATTGAACCTCAGCATTCTCATCAGTGGGAACTGACCTTTTCAAAGTTCCCTACTTTTTGGATGTTTCCTTTTTTATTGATTATTGCGAAGCTTTGCCATTAAATAGTTTACCCCTTTATTATTCCCACCTTGTAAGTATTCCTGTGCCTGCTTATATGTCATGTTTAAACTATGATGAAACAGGTTGATGGGGGCTTCTGGTGGTAATAATTTCACGATTCAATTTGGTGAACACTGTAGATACTGTTTTGCAATAAGCTCTAAAAGGAAATCAGTTTGCCTTCTAGAAAGTGCCCAAAGGGGACATTGAACTTTAGGCCTTTCTCCTGAATAGTTTCTTCTGTGGAGCTTTGGCCACTTTGTACCTTGTATCGCCAGTTTTCCTGGGAGCCATTTACTATGACAGTCAGCTGAACCAAAGTAAAAGTTTGGAAACAGGAGGGGATTTCCTCTTCAGCGCTTGCTGGCAGTTTGTTACATAGGTGTAAGGTCTGTGAATGTTCACTAGCTTCAGATTGTGGTTCTAAAAAGGGCACAGGCCTCTTTGATTGGTCTTTTCTGCTCTGTTGAGATGTGGAGTTCGGCAACAGGCTAGGTGCCTCTTTCTTATGGGGTGCGGAAGATAGTGGATGTGTGGTTCTCTTTCGATGAAATGAGAAGGCTGGTGGAGGTTGGGCTGCATCTCCTTGTACAGCTGTGGAAGACTTTGTAAACATGACGTTTATGGTTTGGGCATGCTGTTGGGTTGACACCTGGCTGCTTCCCTTTGTTTGGATCCTGCTGACACTGAAGGCCTGGTTGCTTTAACTTTTCTGGGCATGCGGCTGAGTTGAGGCCTGATTGCTTCCCCCCTCTTTTTGGGTCCCGTACACACTGAAAACCTGGTTGCATTACCCTGCTAGGGTGCTAATCAGACACTCAAGACCTGGTTGCTTATAGGCATATGGCTTGTACACTAGTAGAAGACGGGGAAGGCACACAGTCTCTGGTCTGTTCGTGCGTGGGGTTGGCTGGATGCCTGGTTGTTTTACCCTGTTGGGGTGCTGCAGTCGGTACTGCAGCAGACAGTGGAACTTTCACCTCTTCATTCTGGGCTGGAGACAAACCAGCTTGGCCGCGATCGTCTCTTGAACTCACATACCTTGCCTTGTAAATCTTAACATCCGTCAGATTAGTTTTCCGCTCCAAAGTCTTCCCAACTCGCCCAAGTAGCTGAAATGTTCCTTTTTCCATTTCATTTTCCTCTGTTTTGTAAGGCTCCAGCCCCTTATCTTGCATTTTGTGACCTTGCTTACTTTTCTAAAGCATGAAAGTTGTGTCGCCGCACAACATCTCCCTTCTTAAAGCTCTTATTCATTCCTCCTTTCCTCTTTTGGTACTGCCTTTTTTGTTTCCCTTGGGCTATGGTTATGTTGCGTTGTACCCTCGAAAACAGAACATTTCTTGTCGTAGGCATCTTGTCTATGTAATCTTGCAAAGCATCCTCCGATGTTAGTTCAGCTGCCTGGCATTCTTTTCCCTCCGCCCCCCTCTATTTTCGGCCTGCTGCACAATTTTTTTCACTTCGAATGGTATCGTGGTTGACGACCAAACATTAAGAAGGGGCTAAACTTGGTGGTGCTAGAGACGTTGGTGTTAATGGCAAACCGGCAAGGCGCCATCGATGAAATCATCCCAGCTGTTCTCGTTTTCAACCATGAGCTTCCTGGGAATGCTAAATAAAAGGAAAGACATTACTTTTTGAGCCTTCCTGCATCAAAAGAATAATAAAATCGCGGACAAAGGACAATACAAAAACGTCAGGGGACCAAACTTTACTAGAATTTTTAGCTTGCTGTTGTTAATACTACTGAGTATAGTTCACGAGTTCATAAACAAACTAGCGACAAACTGTTTCCAGCGCGTGTTTCCTATAGTAGAGTAGAAGATCACGGTACTCTTACACCAATAGCGTTTTCTGAGACGGCAATTATAAGAGCACTGTAAATTTCATTACAACATTTTAACAACTGAGGTAGATTATCCTTCAGTAAACAATGTTACATTTTTCTCACCTCTTAAAGGTTTGTTTTATTCTCTGTCTCTCTTTGATTTTTTTAATAGTGTTGACACGTCCAGTATGGCCAGCAAATCCAGAAGAATGACACTCTTGAAAACTGCGCACGTTCTTCCTCTTTGATTGCCATGCGGTTTAAGCTCAATCAACCTTGACCTTCATCCACATAGATTGATCCACTGTACCCTTCATCGAACGCAGATTTCTTGGCGGATCTCCGTAAGACGTATTTATCCTGCCTACTCGACCCCGACATCCCCCTTCTTTCAAACAGCGTTCTAGATGTTCATATTTTGAGATTCCATCCTCGAGAAGACTCAAACAACACAGAAACGAATTTCGACAATTTCCTGTGAAAGGTAAAGTTCTGGTGACCGGGGTAGGTGGCTACTATACACTTTTTATTTATTTATATCCCTGCCATACGCTGTTACGATATTCTGTCCTCTGTTGTTAAAAAATGACTCATATTCACGACTTAAACAGTTGTTTTTATGGTAACTGTGATAAAAAAAATAATATTAAAAAGAAAAAGAAGGAAAATGACAAGGGAAAAAAAAACGCAAGTCCGACGAGACTCGAACCTGGGACCTTTATCCCAACATTACGGTTATACGACAAGACCACAACGGTTCTCTCACCCTTTAGCCTGCAAAAAGCTTGAATTTTAATAAAACCGATGTCATCATCACCGTAAACACTTCCGAAGTGGTTTAAAACATGCAAAATATTTTCAAAGAAACCTGAATGAAAGGTAAGTGATAGACTTGATTATCACAACTAAATTTCACAACATTCTCAAATCGCCGTAACAAATTACGGGAGCGGGCATCGCCCTCAGCGGTTAGCATCAGTCCAGTCCATGGGGTCTTCGTTTTAGTCCATGGGGTCTTAGGTCTTAGGTCTTCGCTTTTTGGTCTTCGTTTTAGAAACACCCGTGCTTTGGGTATCCTACGCGCGGTCACGGCATTAGCAATTAATATTCGCTCGCTCTAGCCTCAAAATGCGCCTGAATTGCAGGCTATTAACATTTTCGTACAAAGAAAAGACAATTGGGGGAGTGGTGCGTCATCCGTCTATCCCATACATTACCAATACGGGTATGTGCCGCCCAACGGGGTCGTGATTTTGAAGCTCCTGATTTAGAACGGGGTATCCATTTCAGAGGTGTTTTCTAGAACGGGGTATAATATTTCGAACGCACGAATGCTCCAGTTCTGTAAGCAGCCATTTGAAATTATTTATTTAATTGTTGCTGATTATGAAGAAGCATAAGCATAAGCATGTTTAAGTCGAACAAATAAAGAAATATCTTTTTTATCTTTTTAAAAAAAAGGGCTACAGGAAAAACCCGCATAAAAGAACACGTGTTTGGGGGTTCAGGCTAATTTGGTTCTTACAAATCGGGTGTTTACTGGAAAATCAGCCTAAAAAAAGGTTCTTAAGGTGTTCTTAAAATTGTTTCTAAAAATTAAATACTGCATAGACTACCAACAGATAAAATCAATGTGCAAGCACAACATTTTAATTAATTAATGGATGGAACTAATTAACTGTATTAATCAAGGCAGTAATATTTCATTGGGGGAGGGGCAGCAGTTCTGGTGACAAACAACTCAAAATTCAAAATGCATTAGCTCCCCCTCCCTCTTTCCATGTAACTATTGACTTTACCCTAGTAGGTTAAATTCTAATCTAACTAGCAGCCAATTTTTTAAATAGTCACAATTTTCATTTTTCAGGCTGAATGTGTTTTTTTAATTAATGTATATGGTACATTTTTTACCAAATTTCAGCCTGAGTGTTCTTAATCCGCTTCTTCTTTCATTCGGGTTTTTACTGTATTTCAATTTACAGACTTTCTAGAACGGAGTATAAAAAATTGTATCAGTTTTAGGGCGAATTCTAGAACAGGGTATCAATTTTAAATGCAATTTTGTTAGAACGGGGTGCCAATTTGGAGTTCCGGGCGGCACATACCCACCCCAAAAATACCCAAGTGTCCCCCCCCCCCCCGTGCCGTGCGCCATTTAATTTTGGTATACTATTAGTACTCTTGCGCTACCGACCAAAGAAAACCCTTACTCCCTAACAAATTTTTCTTAACTTTTGCAAACACGACACCCACTAACAGCCTAACACGCAGTAATGTATTACCTTTCTCGGTGAGGACAAGCCCAGGAATAGGAACTGCTGTCTGTGGGCACTCGGGTCCAAACTCAGTGGCTTCTTTATTTCCACTCCAAGGTTTAGCAGGTTTTGGAGCAACAAATCTCAGTTCGCCGACCGGAGGCTCAGCGTATGGAATACCAAGATACTCGTACACTGTTTCGCCGTGTTCAACAGCTTCAATCTTGCCAACAAATGCACCGGACTCGGTCTGCACGACGGGGGAACGTAGAATTGAAGAGTCGGGTTCAGCTCTTGAAAATTGCGATACAAAAAACACAGAACAGCTCACGGTTATCCAAATGAAAAATAATCGAAACTTCATGACCAAAATCCTTTTTCAGTGATGTGGAAAACGATTTTCTCTCCTTGTAACTACAATGCGTGTTGTTAGTCACGTAAAAGGCCCCTTTAGTCAGGGATGTGGTTTTCGTATTGTTATGCAAACGAACGCTTATTGGTCCTCCGGAATAATCACCTGATTTATTTCTGTGCATTGGACGAATAAATGGAACGCCGACCTAGGGATAGCGGACTATA